GGGGGGGCGTGTATTCGATAGGTGCACTCTAACGATCTGGTTAATTGAACTTCACGTCCCGAACGAAGGTTTCACGAAATTCCCGTAGGAACGACACACTGCGGGATGAATAAAACAAGAATGCGTGTAATGTTCTGAAAGATGCAAGTGTCAACGAGTCTGCGTATAGAGTTACAGTTATCTTCTACTGTAGATATGTACTATTAACTTGAGACGACGGCGTTTCAGCGAAATTTACCTTTTTTAATGTTAGATCTTTTGAATCATCTTTTTCATACATCCCTATTCATTCATTCATTCGTTCATTAAATGGAAACTATTCGTGAAAATTTTATGTATTGTCAATGGGGTGTATTTCTCAAATCGAAGCACACACACACACACACACAGTGCTAAGTTAGTGGTTTCAATCCAAAGGACGATACCAAATTTTAATACGAATGTGCAATATGTTATTAACGTCGACATGACTTATTCCAAAATTATATTTTCATAAGTGGTGAAGATACAGTATTATACTATTGTACAGTATTATGCAATTTATGAGGGCAACAATTAATATATATTTGAAGCTTGATTCATGCTAAGTCGAAGTGAGTCTTTGTTAATGTTTGTTAATGAATCTCCGAATTCTTCACATCTATCCTCGACATCGTACTTGTGTGAATAAATGTTTAGTTGTGACTTTCGAAGAAATTTCTGAAACGCCTTAACATAGCACTATTACGATCTCGTTCGTGAAATTATTATCTGGACATTTTTGGGAAAGAGTGCATCTATTTTTCTATGCATACTTAATGAATGCATACTCTTGTGGATTTATGTGACAGACCTAATTTCTTCTCTTGTATCGAGTGAAAAGAGAAATGGCTGTTCAAAAATTGTAAATATTTGGGGTAAGAGTATAATGTAAAGAAAAAGGAAATTTATGCGTAATATCGTATCATGACAAATAGAATAAAGCAATGAACACTAGAAGGGCCAATTTAAAACAATCATTACTCGCCTGCATACAAAGTAGTTCCCTTATATTAGAACAATAATAAAAAATAATAATAAAGAATTGTATCTTATAATAATAAAAACAAACAATAATAAAGCCTTTATCTTATTATTTACTCGTTTTTTTGCACAAAAACGAGTTCGTAAAATTTATAAGCTTAATAACGTGCAAAATTACGGAAATGCGGAATTTTAAATATCCGCAGAATATTTTATGATATATATAGAATTGGACCTCCTAGTGTAAAAGACGTAAAAACAACTGACGAGGAAGCTACTAATGTTTCGTATTAATTATGTAACTATATGTAGTTATTGTTTAACTTATATTACGGATTAATTAATATTACGGAGATATTGAATTGTTTACTTCAAATGCGACGAACACGGCGAATTTAATATTCTGAGGCTTAACGTTCCTTTGCGAGGACAGCAATTACGACAATTGTTAAATATTAATTCAAACATATAAGAAGGCTTATAAGAGCAATCACTAGTTAGAAATGCGCAAAAATAATAAGCAATCGTGTAGTTAGTAGAATTGCTCCCTCAAGAAAGTACTGTTTCTTTACGCGTAGTCATGTATTTGGTTAGAACAAAAATTCGTAGCGTTTTTCAATAGTTTGCGTTTGAACACGTGAATTCGTTTCACGCATGGCTGAAACATATATACATATTCTGAAAGATTTCAACGCGTTTTTCTCGGCGATTTGTGTATGGATTTGTGAATTTTAAATGTGTTTATGTTAAAAGTGAAAATAGAGGAATAGGTGCATTTTCTTTTGTAAATTGCTACTACATTCAAAATGGTTCGAAACAGAACTGAAACGTTTGTTTAACACAATTCTATTAATTATACGTTTGCTTATTATTCTCATGCATTTTTAACTAACGTTTACTCTTATAAGCCTTTATACACATCTCAATTGATTTTTAATCTAAAACTTTACGTTTACTTTTATATTGTTCTTACAGCAATTGTATCTGTAAAACTGACTATTTTTCTTTACTATTGCGATACTTAGTTCATTACTGCTACACTTATTGCACCTAATGCGCTACAAGTCAGCCACAATCTACCACGAATGATATAAAAGAAACAAAGTATATTAGGAAGTTGCAAACCCTTCAGAAAGTTAGACGTGAACATCAACTTGCTAACTACTCTATAGAATATCAAGTTATAATTTATGTCTCTTCCATTTTTCATACCTAGTTCACTCCGTGAAGTATTAAACTGTATATTATACTGAGTATTATACTGCCAAGTAACGTAGTAGTTGGGGAACTTGTTTGTTGTTTCAATCGCGGAACCACTTGTAAATTTTTTTTACAAGATACGAAATACTTCTTTCAATGGCATGCACACATACATCGTATATGGGCATATTATAATATACATGGTGATGTATTACTATGAGACATATAATGATATTTTAATTACTGATTTTTAGACGAGTTTTAGAATCGATCTTTTTCGATGGAGAAAATCAGTTCTGGTCGAATCCATCGAAAAATCTGTTATCCTAGAAACAATGAGATAGTTACGAAATACTTTGTATACAAAACAAGATGCGCATATATGAGATCTGAAAAGTACAAGATATCGCTTTTTCGCGCTATTATTTTCTCAAACAGTGGCTACAAAATTTTATGGTGGAAAATTTAATTTTATTCCTAGAAGCATAAGACAATCTAGTATACTAAACACAGATCGAGAATATTCAAGTATGGAAAGTATGGAAATTTACTCTAAAGTTCTTGAATTTATGCAAAATTTCAAATTTAATTACTTGATTAAAACTTTTGAAATTTTCTTAAGTCTTTGTAAATGTAAATAATAAATAATGGTTCTTATTACAAGTCATTTTATCCAAATATAATGTTAGAGATGCTTTTATAATTTCATAATTTATAATTACTCGTAAGAAAAAAAGTAATTATCTTAAATTCTTAAGAAGAGTTTTAAACGTTACGTATATATTATATTAAATATGATGAAGAGGTAAATATATGTATACTATCTCGTTTTAATATTAAAGATATATATTATATACAATAAAGTCCCTTCCCCCACATATATATCAAGAGGCACCAAAGTTTATCTCGCGAGATAGTCGACAGATAGAACGTGTAGAAAAATGTAATACCAATAGCAATATCTTATATATATATATAAATGATGCCTTTCCACATAAATTATATATATATATATATATATACTTGGCCAAAGCCAATAGAGAAGTAAATAGATAAATAAATTTTCGAAGCTATGCCTCTGTATAATCGATTGAAAATTTGCGCTCTACCGATTAAAAAGTAAAAAATGACATTTGGTCACGTTAGCTTACTCATCTCCCCAAACAATAAAACCGACTCCCATCTTCGACATAAATTTTAATTTTGCGCGTTCATGATTTCAGTTAATTACATTATCGAAGTAATGTAAACGATAAAAATGTATTCAATTCCTAAATACTCTTTAAGACTAGGATATGGTCCACTGATTATACAAAAATCTCCAAAAAGGGGAAAAATATTCCTATCATTTTAGCAGAATACCCGCAAATCTTTAAATACATCATGCAACTGTGTGCAACATGCAAATTACTTACCTATTGAAGGTATATTGATATGAAGAGCTTTGGCGAATTTCACATACGTCCGTCCTAGTTCGTGAACACAGATTTGAAGAACATCGCTGATGTCGATGAGCATATCTATATATATGATATGTTAAGGATTTATATTTTACGTTTACTTTGTTTTGTTTTACGAGCCAATGACAGGCCCAATGATGAAGAATAGTTAATAACAATCTAATTACATATGAACGAAAATTTGCGAACTTAAAAAAATTGTTTAAAGAAATTCTAACTGATACCCGTTTGTATTGTTTAGTTATTAAATATTGGTGAGCAAAGGATACGCGCAGTTCTCTCTGTACGGCAAGTGATGTATACACAAGCTGCTTGGTTGAGGGCTTGCTTCCTGCCACGCGTCAAGTGGTAATTCAAAGCCATTTTGTAGAAGCTCATAGCTGTATCAATGCAATAATTATTTAGCCTGAAAATTTCAAAAATTCATAAGTGAAATTATCGCATGACGAAAAATTCCCTTTCTCTTTGATAGGGTGGATACATTAGAAAAAAAAAAGAGAGAAAAAGAATTTATATACTCACCGTAGCTGTGAGCAAATATGTGCTATACCTTTCCGAGCATTTTGTAAAGTAATTCCTCTAGATTCTTTCCCATTGACATGATAAGCTATAAGCAAAAAGTATCTCTAATAGACTGTCCTTTTTTTCTAATATATAGAATATCATTTAAACATCAAAATCATATTAATTGAACTTACTTGAACCAAAGGTACTAGCACCACCTGTACTATCGCTAGCGACAAACTGACCAAGTGCTATCATATGACCCGACGGTGATTCCTCGAAAGTTGTTTCGCTAACAATAAGTTGATCTTCCAATACAAAACCACAGCCTGTACAGACTGCATCTCCACGTGCTGGATCAGTATCAATACTGGTGGATCCGCACATACGGCACTTGCTCCCAGACATCTATTACAATGACATATGAGATTTTTTTAAAGAAATATTTAGTAATAAATATTTATGTACATTAGGAAATATCACAATACGAAGAACGCTAATATAACGAAAAAAACATTCTATTTCCACAACAATACTGTGTGATCCTGTCATAATGTCATGTAGAAAATATGTTCTCAAATGCCATCCCTTCCACCTTTTCATGAATTCACATATTACGATATATGAACCACAACTAAATGAATTGCAATGTAAGATTTAAAATTAAAATTATTCGAATTGATTATTGAAAATGACAATAGCGTTTATAGGAGCTAAGTAAATAGTTTATCGCGCCACGTACCTTTGGCAGTTGTATATGAAGCCTGACCTATAATGTGTTCTTCGCGTCTTGTTTCTTGCTTTTTACTTGCGTTTCTTATTTCTTGTCTCTTTGCTTCCTGGCGCACTGTTTTACCGACAATTGTGTGTTTTGTCGCTTGCCTCTAGCCAGAGTTTGTTAACGTTTACCTCGGATAAGGAGAAACACAAGAGGCACAAGAGTTTGCACTATTCAGAGCCTGTAACGACAAAACTGTCTTATTCTGCGATTGGTTCATGCGAAGTGACAGAAAAAATAAATTGTACACGACGTTTTTTGACTCTAGGCGACAAGATGACACGAAACGAGAAATAAACGGCAGAAGGAAACGAAGATGAGCAAAGATAGTACATTGTAGACTGAACTTAAACGAATACAATAATTTAGCCGCAACGTCAGTGCCTATTCACTAAGTTTCACGAGAAATCAGATATATTATACCTTAAATGTAAGTAATATGCGATGCAATCACATTGAATACTGAAGTTTCTTGGTACGGACGATTAAGAATTTTTGTTCTTTTAGAAATTTTTTTGACGTTTTTATCGCGGAAGTGCACGGTGAGGAAAGGCACACGAGCAGCATGCACGAGCACGCTCGCGGAACAAATGCGCGGAGTCCGCACAACCCATTCGTTCGACAGTGCCGCCGATGCTTTCAAGTGGCCGCAACTGGTATCATCGTAATGTGAGATTTCATCGGTAAGGTAGTGATCTAACATATCCCAGCGAACTAGGCACCGTAAGATGGTGCTTCTTCATCGTCTTCCTGATGTTACCGATAATGCAACATCTCTGCGATCGTAAACAATTCACGCACTCCGCTCGTCCGGTGCGTTTGAAATGTCAATCGTATGCTTTCGCCCGCGCGATTAAAGTGAAACGTTAAACATTCCCCGACGGAAAACGATACATTCGAAACGTCAAAAATGCCGTGCGAAATGATAACTCTGCAGCTTGGCCAATGCGGCAATCAGAGTGAGTGATTATTTACACGGATTGCGTACAAAGGACGCGTCCCTTTTGATTTAGTAACTCTGTAATTTGCGAATTCATTGGTGATGAACGAGAATAATAGCTTGATAACCGATCCAACTACCCCGATTTTACCCATCTAGTGAAATTATATCTATGAGCACATCTGAATACTTATGAATGAATACTCTCGATACTTATGAATTCGACATAACACTGAAACTTCACGTGCAAAATCGAAACATTTAGTCATTAATGAAGGCAAGACTACGCTATCCTCACGGATACATTTCATTTGTATTTCTAGTTGGATTCGAATTTTGGAAAAGGCTGTGCGCGGAACATGGTATTAGTCCGGAAGGGATTTTAGAAGATTATGCAACGGAAGGGACTGATAGAAAGGATGTGTTTTTTTACCAGTCGGATGATGAACACTATATACCACGAGCTGTGTTGCTGGATTTGGAACCCAGGGTAATCCATACCATCATGAACTCCCCATATTCAAAGGTAACACATACTATCTTATTTTACCGTTATAACATATTATTTATACTGTACATTTGTGCAAAAATTAAAAATATACAATTATTTGTTACAAGCTGTACAATCCTGAAAATATCTACTTGTCAAAGCATGGTGGTGGTGCTGGTAACAACTGGGCATCAGGATACCATCAGGGTGAAAAATTACAGGAAGAGATCTTCGATATATTAGATAGAGAAGCTGACGGCAGTGATAGCTTGGAAGTAATTTCAGCTAATCTTTCATCAGTCTTTCTCTCTCTCTCTCTCTCTTATCCTTATATTCTCCTCCACCTATTATAACTTATTACGACTTTAATATCTCATCTGTAGAGCAAATGAACTGTTGGTGGTTTTGAATTTTTAGGGTTTCGTTTTGTGCCATTCTATAGCAGGAGGCACAGGTTCCGGTATGGGATCCTTCATGTTAGAATCTCTAGCCGATAGATTTCCGAAAAAATTAATTGAAACGTATAGCGTTTTTCCAAATCAAGACGAGATCAGGTGAATGTTTATTTCATTTGTAACTTTTCGCATGTTTAACTCGCATGTATATACACATGTATTGCTATTGTTACAGCGATGTTGTGGTGCAGCCGTATAATTCGTTATTAACGTTAAAAAGACTGACTCAATGCGCCGATTGTGTGGTAGTGTTGGACAACACTGCTTTGAACAGGATCGCCTCGGACAGATTGCACATTCAGAATCCTAGTTTCACGCAAATCAACAAGCTCGTCTCGACAATAATGTCTGTCAGTACCACCACTTTGAGATATCCCTCGTATATGAATAATGACTTGGTTGGTCTGATCGCACCGCTCATACCAACTCCTCGCCTGCACTTCTTGATGACCGGCTACACGCCGCTCACGACGGATCAAGAGGTAACTGATTGAACAATTTAATATAATTACACATTTACATGTATGATGTAACTGATATATTTAGAAAATTAAAATTATAAAAATGCATCGACAAATATACTTTTTTTTTTTAACTCTGTACTTAGCGTGCGTTGACTGTGACTGACATTAAATTCTCTTTAACAGGGTGCGTCCGTGAGGAAAACGTCTGTTCTGGATGTGATGCGACGATTGTTACAGCCGAAAAATATGATGGTCTCTACAGCGTTAGATAGGAATACATCGCACTGTTATATATCTATTTTGAACATAATACAGGTAACTTTTTAAGAGCGACATCACGTCCAAGCCTAGCTTATTGCGCGAGATTTTTAAATAAAATTACTTTTTCTCAGAATTCTTATAATATTTACTTAGAAATGTGTAAAATCATAAATTACATGATTACAAAGTATTAACGATTTGTCTTTAATAGGGTGAAGTAGACCCGACGCAAGTGCACAAATCCTTACAAAGAATCAGAGAGCGAAAACTCGCACAGTTTATTCCATGGGGTCCAGCTAGTATACAAGTAGCTCTTTCAAGGAAATCGCCTTATATACAAAGCACACATCGTGTGTCAGGCTTAATGTTAGCCAATCATACTAACATATCGTCGGTAAGTGTCGACTACTCAACTATTCAGTCGTCAAAATTTGGTTTTAAAATATGTTTAGCATAATATTTAACGCGATATTTAGAGCTGACGTAACAAAATGTTTCATAAGCTGTTCGACAGAGCTTTACAACAGTACGATAAGCTGCGTAAACGCGAAGCATTCTTGGAACAATTTCGCAAGGAAAAAATGTTTGAGGACAATCTCGACGAGCTGGACAATTCGCGAGAGGTCGTTGAGTATTTAGTGAAGGAATACCAGGCAGCCACTCGGGATGATTATCTCAGTTGGAATCCAAGCAAGACAGACGCATAAAATGTCCATAAAGTATGTGAGTCCTTCGTACTTAAATTAACTAAAATTATTGCTATGAAATACTTCAAGAATGTAATATTGTCTGTGGGGAAACAGAGTTCCACGAATTCAATCACAGGCATTTTCTTTGTAATCTAATTCTCACTCTATATTGTAACACTCTGTATATTTGTTGAAGAGGATTGACGAGAGATCTCTAAGATCTCATGCTGCAATAACGCTTGGAAAGAACATGTCTAACGGAACGAGCAATGAGGAAATTGAAGCTCTAGCCTGAGAAACTGAGGCTCTAAAACTGCGGAGTACCCATTTAATATAACAATATGGACTGTGGCACACAAAGACTTTAGCAGCAAGATTTAAGCAGTAAGCGAAGTCACATTCGAGAATCTCAACACGTGATAGCTTTACATCTTAGACAATGTGTGATTGGTCAATTCGCTTACTGCTCAAGTTTTGCTACTTACATTTTTCTACGTGCCATTTGCTTGACATCACTTTACGAGTTTTACACGATCAGTATCGTATCACGAATGTCACAGTTCCGTACGTTAGCCGTTTGTTCGTGTCATATTGATCTGAATTATCACATTACATTGTCAATTCAATACTCCTTTTGTCATTTGCGTGCATGATCGGGCGGAAAAGTAGCGATCGTGATGAAGCCCGTGTGACCAGGTAACGAGTGAGCATGAGTGACTGTAAGGAGTTTTTCTTCTTGTTTCTCCTTTTCGTTCCTCTGTGCCATATCTTCGTGCGTGTGCTACAATTGAAAGTTGTGTATCCGTCAATTTTTTTTATATTATTATTTCATACTCATCATCTGTGAGATCCCTCCATCGAATGTTTTTTTAATGTCTTTCAAAATCCCGTCCGTCGACAATTTTTACTTAGGAAAAGTATGCGAAACAAAGCCGAATAGTTGAAATCCTATTTTTGGTACATCTCGATATTCCATTAAATTCATATAGATCTTGCATACATATCGACATACATAGTTTCTAGTGCCATATTTAGCGCGAAACATAATCACTCCAACTTCTGATTTTATTCGTCTGGTATGGATGACAACAAGAACAGAGCATATACAAACCTTGTACTTCAAACACTCCAAGTCCAGTACCGGTAAGGATTTATAGTGAACCTTCATTTCTCTTTGCAAACATTCGTATGTATTTAATTCTATAAATCCCTTGAGCGAGAGTTCTGTACAGGTACGTTGGACTTGCTCGATGCAAGGAGAAAAGAAACAGAGTTTTCCACCTATTAGGGATGACAGCTATCATTAGACATTATATGTAACGCAGAATGTAACTTTTGCACAATTCTATCTATATTCTTCTAATACATAAAACACATCTTAAATATAGTTATGTACAATCTTTACTACATCACCGACATCTGTATGGATATTATTTTCATTGTAAGAGACGTCTTGTTGCGCCATATTAAATAGTGCTGTTTATAGAAACTAGATTAAAAGGATTCTCTTACCTGTCCTTTTTAAAGTAACAATAGCATGTTCCACAGCTAACCATGGATGTGGAAGATCTAGGAAAACCGCATCAACTTTGTGCTTTAACTCTTCTCCAAATCCTTCCACACAGACGTCTCTTTCTTTTAAAGTTACATAATTACTCAAGCCATGCCTGTTAAACTCTGCACTGGCGAGAGACACACGCTGTTCGTGAAAGTCAAAAGTATATAAGTGTCCACTTGGACGTATCGTTCGGATCAACGAGTGAGACAAGGAACCACTACCAGTTCCTGAAATAGATTACAGAATATGAACCGTTTATTTAAATCGATTAATTAAACTGTTGTTAAAATAGGCATGGCATTATGGAATACCTGTTTCGATAACTATACTTCCTGGTCTAAGTTCCATTAAATATATAATAAGGCTAATGTCTGGGCTATAGATAATCTGTGTTCTATGCGGCAGTATCTGTGTCCAAAGCTCAGGTGTTGGCTGCAATACATATGCCCAACCTCGGGATAGTTCTACTTTCGAGCCATACTTCTGCCCAACAAGAGAGAAAACCTTCAGTGCACCGTATACTGTTTGGAACACATTGTCGATTTCTTCACCTTTCTTGTTCAATATTTTCGCCTTTACTTCCAGTGAATGCATGTTACTTGGTTTCAAATATAAAATAACAACATCCCCTTCTTCGATAATTTCCTTGCTTTTGTTGAAACTCATTTTTTTTTTTTTTACGTGAAATCGTGTATTCTACTTCTCTTCGATATTTATCTATAAAAATAGGTGGTTGTTCACTTGGTTTTTTCAACTTTTTAAATTGGGTATTGTCATACTACGGAGACACGTTGTGCGTATGATGGTTTTATAACTTATTTATTTATTCACTTATTATTAGTATTATAATTTATTATTTATTTTTAACCTTACATATTCTACAAAACCATGAGGTACGATCTGCTTAACGTTACAAATGCTTCGAAGGATTTTTTATTCGCAGAGTTTGATGACGCCATTATGTAGCTAAAATGCGTCGATGGGATGTCAGATAGAGAATTTCTAGGGATTTGGAGAACATGTTAGGGACTTTAAAAATGCTCTTTCCAATAGCCAATCAGAACGTCCAACAATACTCGACGAAAATCATATAATCGCTCCGCACATAAAACACGAAAACGCTTGTCGCGTGCATGAAGCGATGCGGTAACCAGTCAACGTGTCATTTAAATTATTTCGCTGTTCCGTGAAAATACGGTAATGACATTTTTATAAAAATTCGTAAAGTCCATCGTTTGAAACAGTATAAATCTAATTAACTTGTTTATATTTTTTTATGTACATAAATACATTGATATTCTCTCATTTATATACATCATACATTTTACACATTCTGGATGCTGTTTTTTGTGCAACTGTTACATATCTTTACTAGGCCTGTTTTTTTGTAGCTGAACTGACTGTACTATCTTGCACTAGTTCCTCTTTTTTACACGAAGTCACAGCTATACATCTGTTTCTGTTTAAGTTTCGAAAGTGTACACTAGTTCAGTGACAAAGAACAGACCCATTATATCCTCACGAAAGAAATTTACCATAAACGAACAAGTGCGGCTAACATTTGTCAAATACACATCCATGGCTTAACATAGCATACATTCGATACAACTGCTCACTGAGCTCTTGAATTTAGTTGGTATGTATTTTCAGAGTTAATCAAGATTTAAAAATACAAACCAATCAATTTTGTAGAAACTCACTGAGCGTATAGCGAGCGATGTTGATACTGAATTTATCCACAAACATAGCTTGTCAAGAGTAAATTATCTGTTAGATTTAATCAATTTTCTTAGCACCTCGTGTTTTCCAAGCAACCAGCAGATTCCATGAAAAATATAAAGAGAAACAATGAACTTGTGAAGCTAGGAGAATAAAAGCATACCAAAGTACACCGTATGGCAGACCCTGAAAAATAAATCAGATGGATGTAGCTCTCCTGTTTCAAAACAAAACATGCAAAAGATCAAAATCGTTTCTTTAAACAAAAAAAGAAAAATCTTGTAAAAACGCAAGATAATTCAATGATGACTCTAAAACTCATACCTGCCACAGATGAATGTCTTCGGATTTTCCAACAGTTAAATATGTCCAAACATCCTTAAAGTAATATACAGTGGCATAAGTCAGTGGACCATATCCTAGTAGAATAATACCTATCATATACTTTTGCAATGTCTTGATTCTATTCTTTTTTATTGCTGAGAGAGCAAGGAAAGATAATAATAAACTAATGCACCATATGTATTCCCACCACAATGGCTGAAATAAAGGAAAGTATAAGTTATTAGGTAATATCAATACTTTAATATCTATTGTTTAAGGAAAAAATATGCAAAGTATGTCTTATCGTGTCATATTCAAAGTAAAAAGTAACATCCAAAATAACAGATTAAAATAAATATTGGAATAAGTCATAATTGAGATAATATTTATTACGCACCTGTGGTATTTGTAACTCCTCTATTTCTAAGATAAATATATCCAGATGATCTAATATATCTGCAGACAGTTTGGCAAGCATAACAAAAAATAATAGATAGTGGAAAAATATGCAGCACTTCAGTCTTGATTTATTAGTCACACTGAAATAAAGCACAACTTTTTAACGATAACAATAATAACAGGTTTGATGTATCGGTAAAGATTATAGATATGTATTTTTTTTTCCATACATGACTGGATGTAATTTAGAAATATTGACATATCACACTTGGCTACTTAAGAATCTAAATTTGACTTGTTCAATATGCAGCATGCATTTAATGCACAAAATAAATTGTAATATAATTTTTACTCAGCACTGCATTCTTCCTGGCTTCATGAATATATATATATATATCGTGTCACATATATTTAATGTAAACAATATGTCATCGAATAACCACAACCAGTTAATTGTAAGTCAATAGAATTGTGCCTTTAATCAACGAGATTCGCTTCTCAGTCGGCCTTTGAAAAACGACTCCACGCTTCTGCTAGAAGTTTCTTACCTGACTTGGTAATGTGTCGCGACTTTCTGTCTATGATTGTAGTCACTACCGTCCGTTCCTAGAGCTTGAGAGATCGTCACTTTCGAAGCCATTGTCGGAACTGTATGGAAGCCTGTGTCACACAAGCACGAGAGAGATGCTGAAATTCCCTCAGTTCAAGAACTGAAGCCCGAGGCTACCCATGCGGCGGCTCAACACCAAATATTATAACTATTTTTAAACTTAACACAGCCCGGTGGGATTGCTGGCCTCGTGGCTCGGGACTGCTCGGGGCACCGAATACTACCGAGCGCGCCGGACGTGTCAGTTCACCGTCAAGCTGCGTTTTCAACTTTCCGCTGCTCGTGTAACCGCGAAAGAGGAATATTCAAAAATCAGTCACCCAACCGCGGTAAGTTGTGTCTAACTTCACGCGTCATATTTCAAACGTGACGGCGAGCGGCATGCGCGCGACTTCGATAGGTTATAGCTCGATAATGTCTCGTTCATCGTTCCACCTGTGTCTTCGTTGATCTTGTCGAAGGTATTCCGGGTTGTCACTATGAATTACGTAATAAAGAAACATGTCCCAGTCTGATGTTTGTCTATCTTAGGTTATAACCAGGTTGGATCATCCCTCCGCACCTGCTCTTCTCTCTAAATCTCAATGGAATTAAGAAACAGCTGATTAGTGTTCAGAGCTATCATGTTATTTAGTGTTTATTCATGGAAGATTTGTCGACACATATCATGCAGCTCTATGTCAAAATACTCTGTCGCCACGGTATGTGAAATTGAGCCAAATTTAGAAAGCTCACTATGCTGCTTTATTCGTATTTTCCTAAAGAAGGAAACGTCCTTTTTAATTCTAGTGCTGTGGCTCTCAAAGGCTCAAGTCGACAAAAACTGCATACATGGAAGAACCAGTACAGTCAGCGGAAGACAGTCGGTTGCGAGTTGCTGTGGCAACTCCTGTGATTCCCTTTCCTGTTGAGAAAGCTGTTGAGAAGATTGTACATAAAGTCAAGAATAATCCAGGTCAAGTACAAATGTCAGAATGGTCACCTATAAAAGTTGATTACACCAAGCTTCACAAGCATTACCTCAAGTTGTCAAAGATTAAATTGACATGTAAGTATCTCACCATATATCGTACTAATCTATGTGTTATTAATTATAACTAAAAAGAGAGATGTTTTTTTTTCAATTCTTAGTACTTTCTAGTTATCTGAAGATTTGGTTCTACATTATCAAATTATCAATAATTTTTTTTTATTGTAGCCCTGGTTGTGGCCACAACTATGGCTGGATATGCATTAGCTCCTCTACCATTTGATTTGTACACGTTTACTATGTGTTCCCTTGGCACAGGCTTAGTCTCTGCCACAGCGAACGCAATTAATCAATTTTTCGAAGTCCCTTTTGACGCACAAATGTCACGAACAAAAAATCGCGTATTAGTACGTGGCCATCTGACGTAAGTCCCTTCCAGACGTCTTCTCATTTCTACAAATATTAGATTCCCTAATAAATAATAGCAATCATATGTGTGAATATGTTGCATCAGATCCGTTCAAGCAGTGGCATTTGCAGCCGTTTCTGGTGTCGCTGGATTGTCGATACTCTACTATCAAGTGAACGGTGTGACAGCAGTACTGGGTGCTGCTAATCTCGTCTTGTATACACTCATTTACACCCCCATGAAACGTGTCAGTATTGCCAACACCTGGGTTGGCTCTGTTGGTGAGTACACTTTCTATAATATCAATGGCAATCACGTATAAATGATTTTTCCCATTACAGTAGGAGCTATACCTCCGCTTATGGGCTGGGCAGGTTGCACTGACGATATCCTGATGCCGGGTGCTTGGATCATGTCCGGCATCTTGTACGCGTGGCAATTTCCACACTTTAACGCCTTGTCGTGGAACTTGAGGCCGGACTACTCACGCGCCGGTTATCGAATGATGGCTGTTACAAACCCGGATTTATGTCGAAAAACAACGTTGAGGTACACAGTGGCTCTGACGGGACTATGTTACTTAGCACCTATACTGGACGTAACGAATTGGTGGTTTGCACTGGCTTCGACACCTCTCAACGCGTCTTTCCTTTATCTAGGTAAAATGAACGGTCTTTAAATGAATCGTATATTTGCTTGCTTGAGATTTCCTCAATACACAAATAGTGTTCGTCTGCCACTTTAGCTTGGAAATTCAGTAAGCACTCGGACAGCGCTAATTCTAGAAAATTATTCCGATTTTCATTGCTCCATCTACCTCTGTTGATGATGTTGATGCTCATGAGTAAGAAGCACTGGAGTATCACGAAGAAACAGGAGGACAAGGTCGTACTTCACAACGAGCCAGAAACCAAGGATTTAGTGACAGCTTTGACCGCTATCGCATCGGCAACTTCGTCCGTATAATCATATGTTTGCTGTTGGACTTGTGATAGTACAAATCAATGAATGTAAAAATCTCGCCAAACTCGAAGAAGCTACGAGATTTTTACATTACCTCGCTAGACGGTTTTGTAAAATATAACGTATGTCGCCGTATGAGGATCTAATTCTTATCGAATTTTAGATCGGATATTTATATAGTCAATAAATAAAGCCGTCAGGTACTCACATTTGACGGCAAAGATACGTGAAGTGAGGGAGAATGACAGTTCTCAAATATTATGTACAGTTTTATTTAAAATATTTTAACACACAGCGTCATATCACGTTTTGGATGTCCTTGCGCTTCGCCTCGAACTCCTTCGCTATCTGTCTCCTGGTTTTGGTTAGATTTCTGTGCCCGGCACAGTCTAGATTTTCTACGTAACATTTGGTCCTACAGCATTGCCGACATAATTTATATTCGCATTTGAAGCCCTGCAATTATTAAACTATGCGTTACAACTGCTCCTCCAAAATGCTACATCACTACTGAATACATCGACCGTGCCTCGAAATAGTAAATTAAAAGAATCACGAAGTCATGTAACTCTCAACGAACCAGAGGATTCGGACAGTCGTGACATCGGTCCGAACTTCTCTTGGAAGCCGAAGTCGCCCTGTTCGGCCGTCGTGCTATTCGCTTAAGCTTCTTCGAACGCTTCCGTGAGATCTCGTTTCCATCCTCGTCCTTGTACTTCCTTTTTTGAGTTGCGCCTTCCTGAAGAAAAAAAAAAAAAAATCTCACTTTCCTAAGAAAATATACGTCCCCCTCGTCTCTGGTAGAGCGACTTGTTTACCTGTAATTTATGCGTGTGTTCCTGCGGCGGCTCGCGTACGTAAGGTTGGCACAGCCACGGCGGTAACTCCAGGTTATAATCTGCAAGAGTTTCGCGAGACATTGCACGTACGAATCGAATAAACGCGACCGGCGATGTTTCTGCAAAACGTCACGTTTTCATTACCGACTTGTTCCTTCCGCCACATGAGGCGGCCCTCATGATACGGCAGATAACGATCCCTCAATGCGCACGCCACCGCCCTGAAGGCTTCCATAGTGGAGTTCGTGGCCAGATTCTCTCTCTCCTCTTGATTTTCTGCTAAACAAAGTCTACTCTCTAGTTAAAAGCATGCCGCGCGCACGAATGGGAGTTCAAGTTAACGCAACGCGACTGTTCTCGGTCCTCGCACTCGCGCGATCGTTTTGCATCTATTATACGCGATCGAAGGGTCGACATGTACATACACGTGATGAAACAGTTTGAACAGGTGGCCGCGGATGTACGAGGCCGGTGCCGGGTGTTGCTCCACGAGGTTCAAGTACTCCAGGGCGGGCTCCCAACAGGCGGGGTAACGGGACTCGAATATGCACGGGTTGTAGAGATTCCCCTCCGCGGACATCACACCCTGCACCCGGGTCTCTTCGATGCACCGTTGCAAGTCCTGCATACACTGTATATTGCCGTTGGCGACCACAGGTATCTTCACAGCGTCCCTGATGCGGCAAAATGCGACAAATCAGCCGCCTGACAATTGTTAGACTTTTTCACCTCGAAGCCAGCGATTTGTCTTATCATGTTGTCGAAGCAATAATCATTTATAATTTATGTAACGTTACAAGAAAAGAACTGAATTTCCCGCTCGCTCGACACCGAGCATATCGAGTGGAAGTAGGAACGAATAGTCACCTGACGGCCTTAATGTGTTCCCAAGACGCTAATCCGGTCAAAGGACCCTTCTGCTCCCTCGTACGTCCGTGGACGGTAAGTAAGCTAGCACCTGCATTCTCCAGCATACGGGCGTACTCTATGGTACGGCTGATTTCTGGGAACACTCGTAATTTGCACGTGACAGGTACGTGTAGGCCATGCTTCAAAGTAGACACTGTGCAAAGAGACCGATCTTATTATGTCGTATCGCAGCATTAGGAAATCAAAATGGAGCACTCGCGACAATAGATATGTTTTCCGTTCCTGAAGTAGGTTGTACTTTTAACCGTTAGAGTGAGACAAATCTATAATTTAGCGTTAACCTTTCGAATGCGAACAACACCTATAGGAAATCTGACGCAAATCTTCGTCCGTGTGCGATCAGCGCCTTTAAGCTTCCTCAATTATTTACATCGTGACGACTTTCTAACGTTAGCCCCGTGCCGCACACGACGGTCGCTTTGTGCTTCCGAGAGATCCGCAGTCTAAAACTGGGTACACACTGAGCGAACGAACGAGGAACGAACAGCGAACGCAAATGTTCGTTGTTACAATTTGGAAAATGCGCGCACGCCATAACGAATTCAAACAGGACGTTTCGGGTAGATTTGCCCGTAAACTGGCTTAACCCGAGTTCCACCAATTTCGGTTCATCTAACCGACCGATTAACTCGACGGAATTGACCAATCATATGAATCAGCTAATTGGACAATTCCATTGAGTTAATCGATCGGTTAGGTTAACCGAAGTTGATGGAATCGGGGGTTAGTTATCAAAGTTAGTTAAATTAGTTTGCCTGTAAGCGCATGTTCCTTCGTTGTTCGTTTGTTCAGTACATACTCATCTTAAATCATACGACATCCGTAATTATTGAAGGACTCAATTGTAGTGCCGGTTAAGAATTTCTGCGTTTCTCATGGTTGACGTATAATTGTCTCTTTGAAGACGAATGACTCAACGTGTTTCTGTGTAGAATTTCTTTTCATGAAAGCGTACCGATTCTTTGTAATAAATCCCAGTCGTCTTGCAAGAAAGCTCCGTAATGTCCGCGCTTCGCGATCGCCTGTGGACAGCCGATATTGATATCCACCGCGTCACAGTATGGCTCGGCCAAGCGTGCAGCTTCCAATAATATTTCCGGATCACTGCCGCAAAACTGAAAAACGGCACATCACATGAGCCAAATTATGCTCTGAGCAATTAACAAGCAATATCACAACATACACACATTCACACGCTCCGGCTTCTCCTCTTATATTTGAAATAGTGTGAGGAGAAAGAGATCGCACGGTAAAAGCTCGTTTTTGCAAAATAATATATATATGAAAACTCGGCAAGGAGAGATGATATGCGCGTGAACATTCATCCGCATCGAAGATGTATCGCCCGTAAATCGAAATAATGGAAAAAATGACGAGAAAATTACAAATTGATCTACATTGCGTTAAAAAGTGACGCCGAAAGTAATTCCAAAATCTTATGTAATCTCATAGTTTCACAAAGCTCCGGCGCAAAGCTGTACCTGTACGATCAACGGGCGATCCTCGCTGGTGCTGGCGAGGGCCTCGCGCCTGTACTTGGGGTCCCGGCAGAACACGGAGGAGTGCAGCATCGGCGTGTAGCAGAGCTCGGCGCCGTGTCGCCGGCTGAGCAATCTCCACGCGAGCTCGCTCGCGTCCACCATCGGCGCGACTATGCAACGCGGTGAGCCCAGGTCCTCCCAAACGTTGCTATCCTCCTTCGTGGTAACATCCTGCACGTGGGCCGACTCGGACATGACCTCTGACATTATCTGCGCACACAAAGTTGACAAAGTCGTTATACCCGCTCCGTTTTTTCATTTATTATTCATATGTGTAAAGCCCTCGTCGGAGCATCGCGTGCCGCGACGTAATAATGTTACTCCCAGGCACCGGCCGTTCAAGTGACACCGATCGTGCACTGTGTGTGTGTGTGTGTACCGCGCGACCATCACTATGGCACCACGTCGTCATCGTCGTCGTCGTACGGCTTGGTACCGTCTTGCTAATCGTTAAAGCGGCCGGTCTCCGTGCTCTTGAAACGTTTTTCATAAACGTTTCTTCACAGCCATGTAACACTTCGTATCAGTCGATACATTGATCGATATTTCCGGTGGGGAATACCCGCCGTTTTCTCGATCGCGCTCTACTTGGAATTTCCGGTATATGTGATGTACGGCCGGGAGGTCGCGACCTCGTCGTGCAAAATTGCGAAAACATTTTACCACGACGAATATCTGCGAGTCGATCCCCGCTATGATAGAAAGAGTTTAAAATAGCCGGTAAGAGCCGACGCACGGTTCCTTTTGCGACGATAGAAAGAAACTTGTCCCTTTGGATATCGATCAAGCGGTAAACGATCTAAGTATTGACATGTATTATTACTCCATACGTTTCGATCGTAAGTTGGATCGTTTAAATTTAAAAATCTTAGCCCCCCCCCCCCTCCTTTGAAGACAAACCCTCTAAAAGATCCCACTTGCGATCGAAACGTATGGAGTAATAACGTATGTTAATACTTAGCTCGCTTACAGCTGGATCAATATCTAAGAGTTTCCTTATCATTGCATTAAAGGAACCGTGCGTCGGCTCTCAATGGCCATGTTAAACTATTTTTTTAAATTTATTTATTCCGAGCTAAATGTGGTAGATTTTAATCGAATCGAAACACACGTGAATTTCTCTAAACGAATTTGTCTTGGAAAAGAACCGAAAACTGAGGAAAAAAAACCCCCGATTTTTCAAACTATAAATGTCGATGCAATACCCTTGTACAGGTCCCACGCGGAGAGTGAACGGAAACCTCGACGGGCTCTGACGACGGCCTATTCTATTAAGACGCGCGAACGAGACACGTCCAGTTAATCCCGCGATCTTGATCTTCCTAAAGCAACACCTGAGTCGCTGGGGCGCCGGGCGCGTCACTCGCGCAACGGCGGGAAGGCGAAGTGGCCGGAGCGCGAAGGCGACCTGGGCGTGGCGGGCTTCGAGACCTCGGACTCCGGTATCGGCGACAGCTGGGCGGTCTGGGTGATGTGCGAGCCGACCTTGAAGCGCGGCCTCTTCCTGGAGAAGGTGTTTCGCCGTGGGCGGAGGTGCGGCTGATTGCGCTTGGGCAAGGACGCGACGGGCGGCAGCGGTCCCAGGACGGAGATGTCCCCGGCGCTCGGGGGAATTCTGATCTTGTGGATGGCGCGTGGCGGAAGATCCAAGGCGGGCAGCCTCGTGGGCGGACGTGGGTCGCTCATCAACGGGTTGGAGCTGACCACCCGGTCCTCGATGGCGGGCGCGACGTCCACGGGGCTGTTCACCGCCGCCGGGATGACTTTGTTGCCGCAAGGCCGAGCGACCGTCGGGGCGGTCGACCTCTGCCTCGACGAGCCCTTCCTCCAACGGGCCTGCAGGAACGTCTGTATCCGCCTCATCGTGCCGCAGGAGCGCTTCGCGGCTTCCGGGTGGTCCCCGCGGCGCTTCCGGCTGGCGCTTCTCTCGTGCCGGCCGCTCTCGGGGCTCATGATGGAGAAGCAGCAGGACACCGGCGAGGGCGTCGAGGACTTAGCGTCCGGTGACTCCGCGTGATTCCTCGGCTCCCCCGTGGTGGTCTGCGAGGAGACCTCGATGGAGGTCTCGGTGGTGCGCGCGTCGTACGAGAAGCAGAGCCGGAAGTTCCGGCTGCTCCTCGTGGCGGATAGTCCGGAGCGGGCGTCCTTGCCGGCGTTCGTCGTCGCGCCGTTGTCGCGTTCCTTGTGCGTCGAGCACACGTACACGTCCGTCGTGGCTGTGGCGGCGGAGCTGTCTCTGAACATAGAGCCGTTCTCGCAGATACGATAGAGACCTCGCGTCGCCGCCACCTCGACGTCCTGGCCGTCGGCGGCGCAATGAGGCGCGCCGCAGGGCCCGGAGAACGACGTCGTCCTGGAAGCGCCGACCGCGGTGTCGTTGTTCTTCTCTCGCTTGCTGCGCACGTACTCGTACGTGGTGAGGCCGAGGCAGGCGATATAGCCGTGGAAGAAGCACAGGTGTATGAGGAGAACCGCGGCGATGGCCGAGAGAACGCCGATAACGGTGACAAGAACGAGCGAGCCGGCGCCGGGCACTGGCAACGACGAGGCCGTGGCGTTGCTCATCGTGCCGTTACCGCTGCTGTCGTCGCCTCCCCACTCGACCGCGCGCGCATTAACCAGCACCAGTTCGCAGAGGGCGAGCCCGGCGACCGCGAGCGCGGCCACGAGGGTCGACGCCAGGCAGGCGAGGAAGGCCGGGTAATTACGGCCGCCGATGCAATTGTTCAGCCACTTGCAGTGGTGGTCGAAGCGCGGCACACACTTGTTGCAGACGGAGCAGTGCTTCGTGCGCCGGCCGTGCGTCGTTATGTTGCACAGGTGGCATCGGCCGTTTTCGATCACGTGCCGGTGCTTACTGCGGTCGAACTCGGGCACGACCTCGCCGGCCGGCCGTGCGCGCACTTCCGGGTCGGCCGGGTCCAGCAGCAGCACCGTCAGGTGGGCGAGCAGGTGCAGCAGGAACAGCGTGGCGAACACGAGCGAGAGAGCGAGCCGCAGCTCGGCCGGCAGTAACGACGGGGTGGTCAGCACGGCGAAGGTGCCGGAGAAGACGACGACCAGCAGCACCCAGCCGACCACCTGCTGGGGGTGCAGCGGCAGCTGCAGACCGTGAACGCGCCGGAATCGCCGGTGCTCCGGCGGCACGCGCAGCGTGTCCTGCAAGGAGCAGCACCGGTGGGTCGCGCGACTCGCCGCACCACTCTCGCTTAGCATTCCCGTTCTCTTCCTCGGCGACCCTCTCTCTCTCCCTTTCTTACGTTCTCATTACCTTCTCGGCGCTCTCGACCTGTGCGAGTAGTGCCGTCATCCTCGTCCTCAGGCCGACTCGAGTCTTCTTCTCCCGCGAATCCTCGTTGGAAGAGTTATTACAGTCGCTAAACTTTCATTATTAGCTACCGTTTAGTTATACGTTAGCACGATTACTTACTGAGACAGCTGTAACTCCGAAATTGCGCATACATATACATATATATACATATATATATATATGTTTTCTTTCTACACGAGTGCGCACCCGTGTACCCGCAAAATATGGAAAAGATTAATTGAATATCGAAAATTTTGGAGCGTTGTTGAAAAAACGTGGAATGTTGAAAATTGTATTCTATAAATCTTCCTACTTCTTCCTCTCTCTCTCTCTCTCTCGTTATCACCGTGTCAATTGTTATCAACAACTCCAATCGGACTGTTTGAATTTGTCAACTCTTGTCCCTCCTTTTCTCTTCTTTCCTCCGTCTCCCACTTCGGTGTCTTTCCTTTGTTCCTCAATCATCTTAAGAAGTAATGGTCCTTTATCGCTTATTGCTCACTTTCTCGGACGCGCAAGAACGCGGTTTCTCCTCCTCTTCCCTTTCGATTTCGCGCGAACTCCCAGCTGATTCTCGTTGATTCGCGCGTCCTCAATAATGATCGGTAAATCCTTAATCGTTTGGCCCGGACGGGTGCGTAAGTCACTGCGACAATAAAGTTTGATAAAAAATTATCCGCTTCGGGGAAGATCGCCGTTATAATGATGTTACTAGGTTTCCGTGTTCGTGACACAAATTAGCCCTTCGTCTAACAGCGTCCGAGTCTCGATGCCTCTCTCCTTTTCCGTTCTCTTTCTCTCTCTCTCTGTCGTCGTTCCGTCGCGCGGCAGCTGACAGTCCCGGACGCGTCATCCTCCGTCATTGCGCCTCGTCTTCCTCGCGGCACGCCTCGCGGATGAAGAGGCGAAGCGCCCGTACGGACGTCCGTACGCCGCCAACCGGCGACGCCTAGGGCGAATCGATAAGTCGCCGTTGCCGCGGAAACCGTTTCAGGGGCGCGCCGAGGACGCATGCGGCGAGCCGATGTGAGCGTGCGCGAACACACCTCGTTTGTTGTTGCGGCACTTGCGAGTCGCGCGGAAGTTCGCGGCCGGGACGAACAAGCCGAGTTCAGCGAACACGACGGTCGAGCGGCTCTTGAAAGTCGAGGCTGATTAATAGACCGAGAATTGTGCACCGATGCGAGTAATCGTCAGCGGACGATCGTTTATCGCGTTCGCTGAACATTCCCGATGTTATCACCAATAACGACGACGAGACGGCTCGAATTCGCCGAATATGCGATTCGAACGCAACGTGCAAAAGTTATCGAGTAGAAACGAGAAACTAACCTCACTTTGTGTGATCGAGCCGAACTCCTCGAGCGGCAGATGGAACGTGTCAATCCACCGGCGACATCCTTCGCTCTCGGTTGACACGTTATCGCGCGACCCTCGCGGCCTTGTCTTTCTATGATCGTAGTTATCCGTTCGATGAAACGTGGAAAAACACAAAAATCAACATCGACAAACGTGGACACATACTTCACCGCTTGTCGGAGGCAGAGATGCGCTCTCGCGTGCCGCAGACTGAGGTGGCCCGATTTGCAAACTTGACCCAACGTAGCGGAAATACCTCGTCGATATTGCAGAATGTCATCGCCTGCAATACCGACACCGTCACATTGAACTTGTGAATTGCGCCATCGAATTTCGCGAAGCGTATATGCATTTTTCTAGCTTCTCGAACATCCTCGTATCAACCAATCGTAGCGGAGGATGATAGCCGAGATCGAATGTCAAATACGAAACATCGTCTGAATTTCGAACATAACTTAGAAGGTCGCTGTTGGACCTCATATGGGGACCACTTCGTGGTTCACCGTGCTTCACCCGTGGTTCACGCGTGTATTTGCAATTATGTCGGCTCGTGCATCGCGGCAAAACTTGGTGAACGAGTCTTCCGTGTTGTGCTTCTCCTAAGGAACACTTAATGAACACGAGACATTAGTCGTACATCAGATTGTGAAATTCAAGGTGAGTGTCCTTCAAGCAGATTCGTCATTTTCAACGCACACGTATGTGTACCCGGAGCTTATTTCACTGTGCTTACAACAGAGCATTGCCCAGAGTAAAATATCGTGCCCGAATTTACTCTCAATCTGTTGGAATCTTCTGATGAGAATTTGGTGCACCCAGAATGGCAGGAGTTTTCGATATTGAGCTGCACGACGGAGATGCTACCAATCAAGATGAATCAGACGACGATGTGATTGAACACAGAGAGGTAAAATGTGTCTGTATAGTAAGTTTTAACTTGATTTGTAACAATAATACCTAATATTACACTAATTTACCCTTAGGAGGAGTATAATCATGCTGCGACTGTAAGCGCTATATTGGAGTAAGCATTTTACCTGACATATCTTGAATTTCAGTATAACTTCTTCTCCCGATCATTAAGAAGCAACTGTTGCATTATATTTTAGGTCGGAAAATTTAGAGAGAGTTCAGTTGTCAGAACAGAATGTAAATCCTGGCCAGGAGAAAGCTGGCCCACAGGATTTTGAATTATGCAAGATCTTAGGAGAAGGTGGTTACGGAAAGGTCTTCCAAGTAAGGAAAGTCACTGGAAAGGATAAAGGCAGCATCTTTGCCATGAAAGTACTGCGCAAAGCATCAATTATAAGAAATCAGAAAGATACTGCTCACACCAAGGCTGAAAGAAACATCTTGGAAGCTGTGAAGCATCCATTTATCGTGAACCTCATGTATGCTTTTCAAACTGGCGGCAAATTATATTTGATCCTGGAATATCTATGCGGTGGTGAGCTCTTCACGTACCTCGATCGAGAAGGGATCTTCTTGGAGGATACAGCTTGCTTCTATCTGTCTGAAATTATACTGGCACTGCAACACCTTCACAATCAGGGAATTATATATAGAGACTTAAAGCCGGAGAATATTCTGTTGGATAGCGAAGGTCATGTTAAATTAACGGACTTTGGTCTTTGCAAGGAACATATACAGGAGGGCACAGTGACGCACACGTTTTGTGGAACGATAGAGTACATGGCTCCCGAGATCCTGACCAGGAGCGGCCACGGTAAAGCCGTGGATTGGTGGAGTCTGGGTGCATTGATGTTCGACATGCTTACAGGAATGCCGCCGTTCACCGGTGACGATCGAAGGAAAACCATCGAGAAGATCTTACGAGGAAAGCTGAGTCTTCCGCAGTACTTGACACCGGACGCCAGGGATCTTATCCGGAAGCTGTTGAAGAGGCAAGTTGTGCAGAGATTGGGCTCCGGTCCTGAGGACGCCGAGCAGATCAAGAACCATAACTTCTTCAAGCACATCAACTGGCAGGATGTAATCGCGCGGAAGTTGGATCCGCCGTTCAAGCCGTCCTTAAAGAGCGCCGACGACACGTCCCAGTTCGACGAACAGTTCACCGCTACCGTGCCGGTCGACTCGCCGGTGGAAAGTACTCTCAGTGAATCCGCGAACATGATCTTTCAGGGCTTTACGTACGTAGCGCCGAGCGTCCTGGAGGAGATGTACGCGCAGCCGAAAGTTGTGAACGCCAGAAGCCCGCGTAGGGGACTGTTGAGCACGGGTTTCGGCATGGCCGCTGGTCTTCACGGCTTTTCATCGCCCAGGTCGGCGTTGGACGTTCACCTGCGCCCGTCGTTAGATTTCCAACAGCACAGGCATCATATGCCCGTAGGGCCCAACAGCGTAGAAGACGCTGAAATGGTAGACCTCGGTCAACTATCGAATCGTTTATAGTGCCGCGACACATCGCGTGCAAATCATTAGCTTTTTCCGACGCAAACTAGGGACAAGAAAAATATACATATATATATATTCGCCTGTGTAAACGTTTGTTCGCCGAATCGCCGTTCACGTTCATTGCTCGTGCCGATATAGACGAACAGATGTATCTAGAAGATTCAATATGTATAGTAAAAAAAAGAAATAGCAGCAGCAAGTTCGGACGATTTCCTTGATATCGCGGTGCCAGCCTGAACACGATCTTGCTTAGGCCTTTGACGATTTCAAGACGGCTTACGTTCGTTTGCAACGCGGGAAAACGAGTAACGTGTGTTTTTTCGCTGTGTAAATAGATGTGGATGATTAAGAGCAAGTACATTCTTTAGGGGGCAAACTTACGGGCTAAACGTGCAACACTGACAAGCAGAATGCAGTTCAAATCCGATGCGCAGAAAAGAAATTAGTCTTAAATCAAGAATAGATTTTCTCATGTATAGGCGAGAATATTGCAATCTTCTTAGAAGATTTTTAGTCTTGATTTGATTGAATTCGTATTGATGCAAGTATTACTTGCACTCAATTAAAGACTAAACATTTTCGAAGAATATTATAATATTCTTGCTTATTTATGAGAGTATCTATTGTTGATTCAAGTTAAGACTATTTCTTTTCTGTGTGACTACGTGTCGCGGAAGTAGTATATCACGATCAGGTAGCTAATGATAGCGACCGTTTTTACTAGTACAACTTGATTTCGTGTAAAGTGACGTATACTTCAGATAGATATTAGAATCCAAATGCTGGAAAAGAAGTGATTAAGAAAAAAATGCGACTCGGAGACGAACGGATCTTTGACGAAAAAATGTCGCGAGGTATTTTCATTTCAAGAACGTCGCATGATGGGATTCTTTGATTTTTTTTTCTATCTTTGTTAGATCGAGGCATTGTTATGTTTTCTACATAGTAGAATTTCTTGTTTCTAATATCTTGGAAAGTTTGCGACCGGATCATTTTAAGCGAAGTAATGTGCACTTCGAGTGAGAATGTACTTTTCTAATCTCCATTATAATCTCCATTATAAATAATTTGCTTTCCATGCAATAGATATCGAAGTATATATATATGTAAGAGACACGCTCGGATTTTTGACGTCGATTCTTGCGGAAATGAGTATTACATTCCAGTGCATTTTGCGTACCCTGGATGTGTTATGATGATTTTGATTCGCGTTCGCGCAAGATGAGACGTCGTAATATAAGTGTTGGGGGCGAGTAAGTCCAGTTGTCTCGTTTCTACAATTACAGTGTAATTAATTCCATTGAATGTAGTTTGGTTTACGTGGTAAAGCAAAACGGCGATCCTGGAATAAAAACGAAAAGAGAAAAACGGACAATTGTTGTATTATATATATATGTATGTAAGAGAGAGAGAGAGAGAGAGAGAGAGAGAGAAAGTGGAATTAATCCTCTGAGACGATTGTATTTAGGGCAACAGTATAATGTTGCATTTTACGGAACGGCATTTCTCTCGTAGGGATAATCACGACTGCTAATGTCATTTCCGGTAGTGTAGAGGTATGAATAAGTACGATGTTTCAATTATAATAGTGAGTGTATTCTCTTTTTATCTATATACATCGAGTCTCGTTGCTACTTGTAATTAACTGATGGATTAATTGTACATATATAACTGCCAATCCGGATTCTACTTCCCAAAGTTCTAGTGTCATATCACATAGAGAATGTAATCCATTTGCAAAGAACGATCACGCAAACAGATTTCAAAGTGCCCAAGTGTTCAAAAGCCGACTGGTGGCTAGTATTACATATAATTTACATTCGTACGTTATATATATATGGAAAAAAATATATATGCAGAAAAAAAAACGGATTGTTACTAGCTAACCGTGTTATAGAAACAGAATTATAGAGTGAGAGAAATTATTATACTTTCTAAGACCTACTTAAGCGATGCGCGCCTTACAAGTAAACCCAATCTGGCCAATATCTGTAATATACGTATATTATCGATGGTCCCATGTATCATCTTGGCGAGAAAGACATGTATACGTTGCACTAAAATTACACATGATTATATAAGGATACCAATAATAATAATATATTAACGCATTTCATTGATTTGTAAAAATGATATAAAATGCATGCTATATTATAATAAAAAAACTTATGCAGCGAATTAATGTTTGTATTACGGGTCGTTATTAGGAGTATATTCCACTGTCATTGAATAAAATGCTGCAATTTATTCAACCAATTTTGTTAATATGCGCAAACGTTACTCAGATATCGATTCGTATTGCTGTGTCAAAACATGCCCACTTGAAAAATTCCTCGCGCCATCCTCAGTAACAAATTTACATTAATATCCGAGATGTTCGATTCGCGCAATTAAATTGCGTGAAATGCATATTTAAGTTGTTAACGTCATAATTATGTTTTTATTATTACATATTTTCACAGGAGATATACACATATCAACATTTTACAGATCTTGCAAAAATAATTATTAATGATGCGTGTGTTTTCTCTTTGCCTCACTGTGTCGCAAGTTCTCTCTGTCCTTATCTTCATCTTTAATTTTTCTCTTTCTACTGTGGCGACTCTTGTCCCTGTTATGTTTAGCACTGTTGTTCTTCTCCTTATGTTTGTGTTTGTGCATATCAATACGTTTGCTCTTATGCTTGTGAGTCTTATGAGTACGTTTTTCTTTGGAAACTGACTTTTTCCTTTTTTTTCTGTCTCTTTTCACATCGGAATTTTCCGAGTCGCTGCTGCTACTGCTGCTATCGCTATCACTACTACTACTATTACTACTACTACTACTACTACTGCTGCTGCTGCTGCTACTACTGCTACTGCTGCTGTTATCACTGCTATTGCTCAAGTGTTTGTTACTGCTCGATTTTTTCTTTTTCAATTGTCTTTTTTCTTTCTTGCGATTTTTCTTCTCCAATAACTGCAGTTTCCTGTAACCCATAATTATAAGAATTAGCAATTTATTTCAATTAATAGGATTTTTTTTAATATAGATGAAAATTCAATATTTTTTTGACGTTTTTATCATTTTAATGAAGGAACGCGTTATGATTACACAATTCAGTTGTAACTTACAATAATAATTTCTTCTTCTCTTTCTTCGATAGAGATTTGAGGAATGATAATTCAGACTGCTCTTCATCTTCAGAGACCATAAGATGCTCCTGTTCCGGAACTCGTAAATGCTGTTGTGCATCTAGTGCAGATCTGCAATAAGAAAAGATAATTAAAAGTTAAAATATTACTATTATCAAATATAAATATGTGTGTACATATATAACAATATATATAATGACATTATGTAGCATAGCATATATGTATGATATAAACTTACTTTTTCAGAGCCAAACCATCTTCTCGCATTTGTTGTACAAGCGTCATAGTGTCCGGGGCAGACGGTGTTTGTGAATTATTTGCCATTACAACGCTCATTGCTTGGCTATACAAAGGACACTCCTTATCTAAAAGCAAATTATTATCAGAGTCTGTCTTCTACCATGATTCAGCAATATTTTAATAAATATAAATTCTATACCTGTATTTATGTGCCCCCATTTGTGGCACTTGATACAACGTACATTCCTCACTTGTATACCGAATGGTTGGTCTCGAATCTCACTGTCTCCTTTGCAATAACTCTCTCTTGGAGCATTATATTTTCGCTGCCACTCGAACTTATATTCTGGCTCGTTATCTTCTTTCTCTCTCTCTTTTTTTGCTCCAGGGGGTGGCTCATACATGAAGTTTACACTGAGTTTATCCTTGCTTTCTTTGCTAAGCAATGCTCTGAAAAGAAACTTCCCGTTAGAAATAAATCTTCTCGTGTGCTCGTTCTCTTACTCTCTCAATACGAGGTCTTTTGAAACTTACTTGTTATTATGAAGATCTTGTTCCTTTTCATACTGAACTCTTAATTCTTCCTGCTTCTTCTTGTAAGCCTCTGCTTGCTGTTCTGCCATCCATACCTATGACAAATATGAACTTTAAATATAATTGTCGATTTATGTGTTGATTTTATTTTAAACATTTTCTTATTTCTTCTTTGAAGAAGAAATTATTATTGTAAGTTACAACTGAATTGTGTAATCAAAATGCGTCTATTCATCGAAATGATAAAAAGATTTATTTTATATATTTAAGAAACGTTCCTTTTGCTATTTTCAAAATACAGTTACGGATTTATATATCTAAATATAACAAAGGAAACCGAAAAAATTAAGGTACGAGATATCGTAAAGAGGTTAGGTTGAATCTTCGTACTCGTTTCAAATTATCTCGCGACGCTGGATGAAAGAATTTCTTGCACATGTAATTATTGAATCCCTTTCCCATTTTCGCAGCTCGAGATTTTTTTTCCGCACGACTTCAAGTAGCAATTTTACAAATGTATCCACACACACACGCGTAATTACGCACTCGTCACCGCCATTACAAATTTTTTGGCTCGTTCCAAACGCACGTCAGACTCACTTTGACAAGCGTAAAAAAAAACAATGTGGACGTCATTGCGCGTTCGCAAAACGTGTGATTAGGTCGTGATTCTTCGTTGTGTAACAAAATTTTGGTGCAACGTAAACGCGTTATATATATACACACACATACACGAACAATATTTCTAATATTTCTTTCGATCGTTTGTAAATTGAAAGAAAAAAAGTATTGCAACACATAACATAACCTCACGAACGACGCGACTACGCCTATCTTAACTGCCGCAAAATCAACGTTTGCACGAAAATATAAGTAAGATTGATATACGATGTTTCCGTGCCACTTTGCGTGATTGTATAATATTAAGTTTAGAAAAAAGGGAAAAAGCATCCCTTCGTGACATAACCTGAAAAAAACTTACCTCGAGCCGCGGTGCCAACGCGCAGTTCAACGTGCATCAGGGTTCGTTGCCGAGTTGTGTGCTACGAATCGCTCGGGTATCGTGAGTTGAATGAAAATTCGCATCTAAACGCCATGAAGATCAATGAGAAAAATATGGTGGCATTCGCGACCTCTGCGACGCCAGTGGACCGCGAAGGCTGGCTGAATAAACGCGGCGAGGTGAATCGCGGATATCAAAGGCGGTGGTTCGTTCTCAAAGGGAATATACTGTTCTATTTCGACCGCCGCGGTGACAAAGAACCCGTGGGCATGATTGTGCTCGAAGGGTGTACAATCGAATTAGCAGAGGATGAAGAGCAGTTTGGTTTCAAGATAGTCTTCCACGGGCCAAACAATAGGAGCTACGCTTTAGCAGCGGAATCTCAGGTAAGAATAAATGTCGAGAAGCTGTGTTTATACAGCTGTTTATATACTGAGAGACATTGAAAATATCCTGTCCAGAAGGACCTATCTGTCTAGGCCTAAAGTCACAAGACATATTTCTCCTGTTCTTCCTTTTGAGCCATCCTGCATGAACCCATCGATGCATTGCCAATGAATTGGGATTACTTAGTATTGAGTCTTCTGTTTCTCTATTTACCAAGTTTCAGTCCAATCTAATAGTCCTTCCTTTCAATGTTCTTTAATATATTTACACATTTGTACTTATCAGTATGCTCAAAGAATCATATCAACATTTAGGAGTCTATGGAACAATGGATGAAGGCGTTAGCTTGTGCCAGTTACGACTACATGAAACTTATGGTAACTGAGCTGCAACGTCAGTTAGACGCTGTGGAGGAGGAAACATCATCATCTACACCAGTGCAACAGTCGCCTAAGGCACCGCCAAGACAGCGACATAATCCTTTCAACAGACCAGACTCTCACCATCGTTCCCAGAGCGTCAGGTCGGCGCCTGGTAGGACAGAAAATGTGCCCAGAACTAGAATAACCTTCCGTGAGCTTCATACGGCATACGGCAGACGAATCTTGGCTGATCTGAATACATGGAGGCATGCGAGGAAAACTGCCGATGCACCTCTAATCACTCTGTAACTTCGCACATATTTTATAGATAAACCCGAACAGTGTGCATGATCCATGTAAGTTACTGACTTTCGAGGAGTCAACGTAGCATCAATAAACGGAAAACTTTTGATAAAAAAGCAATCATTGTAATCTGTTATATTTAATATATATATATATATACACACACGGTGACCCATTTTAATCGACAAACGGAGATATCTCCGAAACTACGCAACCTACGAAAAAAATGTTCGAATAAAAGTTGTCGAGGACAGTGGGGGTCATCTACTTGTGCTAATGACCTTGAGGTCATTTTTTTCAAGGTCATTTAAAGGTCAAGGTCACTTTTAAATGGAACCCCCTATTTTTAATGCCGGATTCAGAAAGAGCGGGAAATTTTACATCCAGATATGTATCAAAGTATAAGGTTAACGTGACCTCCATAGGTCAAATGAAGGTCAAGGAACCACCCCTACCAAACCCCAAGCAGGCTAAACCACCTAACTCTGGGAACAGCGAGTTTAATCGTTTCTTTTTCTTTAAAATAAATTAAATTCCAATCCACAAGTAAACTGACTCACAAGCTCGTGCATTATCTTCGTTGTATTCATGATGTCGACGTTGTCGAACCAGATTTCTATCACGAGCTTATTGAGGTAGGTTTCGAACTGCTCAGTTGTTAGGATGTCTTTCATCTGGAAAACATTTAGTAAAAGCCTTCATGTAGCAAGGTAGTTGTTATGGCAAACTACTATCATATCACTAATTTTATTTGCAAGGTAGTCTGCCATACTGAGAAAGAGGCTTTAAAGAGAGTTTAATTCGTTCAAAAAATTTGTAATTAAACTGTACGGGGCAACACTTAAAACTGTTAATTCATCAAATCTGAAGTGACGAAATATCTTTCTTATGTTTGAACTTGAAAGTTTTAATGAAAAGTCAAAATATTTTGGAAAATTTTTTTTAAACCCAAAAATAAAGTGGGAAAAATTTTTTTACTCAAACTTGCTCAAACATAAAAAAATTTTTCGTCATTTTGGAACTCAATGGGTTAATTTTTAAATACAGATTTTCTACAATTATGTTAATCTTTAAATTATCTACACTTTGAATTTGTCTGAGATTGAAGTATTTAAAGAATTAAAAATTGTATTAATAATAGTGGTTTAGCCTGCTTGGGGTTTGGTAGGGGTGGTTTCTTGACCTTCATTTGACCTATGGAAGTCACGTTAACCTTATACTTTGATACATATCTGGATGTAAAATTTCCCGCTCTTTCTGAATCCGGCATTAAAAATAGGGGGTTCCATTTAAAAAAGTGACCTTGACCTTGAAATGACCTTGAAAACTGACTTCAAGGTTAAGGTCATTAGTAGAGGTAGATGACCCCCACTGTCCTCGACAACTTTTATCCGAAAATTTTTTTCGTAGGTTGCGTAGTTCCGGAGATATCTCCGTTTGTCGATTAAAATGGGTCACCGTGTATAACAAATTACAATACATACAGTATATACATATACAACATAATTTAGTACACATGTAATAACTTGTGTCTATATACGTAGTGATAACATCAATGTATTATTCGTTTCGAGAAGAATGAAGACCGATTGTATTTCGCGTGAAGAATGAAATCATTACGTGCGTGTTTGTTCTCGCGCTCTTTCAACTTACCTAAGTTTCTTCGAATCTATACTCGGCCGTTACAGAGATTAAGTGTCGATGATATATAATTATCAAAATGAGATTATTTTTATTAACATAGCGTAAGAAATTATTAATTACAAATAAAGTAACGTACGAGTAAAAGAGTCCTAAGCTTCTACATACTTGTCAGAGGTCATATAGGATCAAACGTTTCTAACGCCTATCTGCAAGCGTCGCAATGATCTTAGCCATTGTAATCGAGGTGCGGGAAACGGAAACGCGGAGGCGTTTCAACATCTCAGGAAGTTGCGTATATTAGTGTATTACCTTTAGGTGCTAATTAATCTGTACAATTTATTTGTACACGACACGATCGTACGCAACGATTACCGACGCCATAATAATAAATAAGTTATTATGTTACATAAAAAAAGAAGGAAATCCTACATGGGGTGCATATATAAATTACTTGAACTTAAAAACGCTTTTCTTTCTCGCGTCTCCGGGCAGATGCCTGGTACCTAACAAAAGACGAGCCTTATCCTCTTCCTGCGGTGCTGATTCCTCGGGTGGACCCCTCGGTTTTATCTGCAGTTTCTGCTTGATAGCTTGACTCAGTATCACGCGTCTGGAATCGCTCTTCATAGCCAGGAGCAAGTCGAGCCACGTCCATGTGACGTTGTGATACTCCAAAGTCGGTATGACTAGCGCAAAGTCGCGCACGTCTTCGAGATTTTTCTCCTTATTCCCCTGCAAGAGCAACGGTCGGAGCTTAACCCCTTAACGCACAGTTTTTTTGAAAAAAACCGGCCAAAAAAATCAATTTTTTTTTATGTAAAAAAATTGATTTCTTTGCTTTCACATTGTTATTTTCAATTCTCGATTATATTTGAGTGTGAAAAATTATAGCAGCATAAAATACAACGCCGCTCGAATTATCTCGAGTGTGCACAGTTTGGCGTGTTTAGCGCGCTCGAATTAACTCGAGCGTACAAGTTAAGGGGTTAAAGAACGATTCTCCAAGCGAAGAGCAACGAAAGGAACGTGTCCTCTTTCGCTTCACGGCCACACTCGAGATCTCGTTACCTTGTACGACACGCGGACAGGTACTTCCGGTATCTTGATGTATATGAACAGTTTGTTCTTGTCAGCCCGCTCCTTCATCTTCTCAACGTCGTCTCTCCTCTCGATGGGCACGTAAAAGGACGAATCGCGTTGCGGCGCTGGCGCTTCCTCTATGCCTTCCGGATCTCTCTCGGGGAAGCAGAATTTCAGCATAGTGTTGAAGAACTTCTTCGTCAAGCCTAAACGAGAATAAAACGAGATTGCTCACACGTGTACGCGACGCGGTGTATACACGTCTGTTGAGAATTCTACGTTCACCTATCGTAAGAGGCACCACGTTGATCTCGAAGTGCTCCTTCACAGATATACCCGCCACCGGCGCCTTCTCCCTGCAGAAGACCCTCAGAGCTCTCTGCCGATCGACAGGCATGTTGCTTTGCAACTCCGTCGGCGTGAGCACTTCTGTGTAGATCTGATTCGGCAGTAGATTCGTCATCCGGACGTAGCCGAGTTCCAGCAGATGCTCCACCGAGTCGTCGGTCTTGCTCGTTTTCGTGTACAGGAAATTAGTGAGGATGAGATCGGCGATGCCCAGCTGACCGTCCGCGTCCGTCAGCCTCCACTGAGCGTGTTTGAAGCAGATCTCGGCCACCCTGGCTACCGCGGCCGGCTTGTCCTTCAATGTAGCCGACGCGGCCGCAGGAGCGGTGGTCTCCTTGTAACAGTTCAACATGACGTCCAGCTCCTCCGCCTTGGCGCTGAGCTGCTCTTTGCACTCGAACACGCTCGCTTCCAGCCGTTCCATTTCCGTCAGTAACTCCGGACTCGACTCGTCCGCCAACGCCTTCTGCACCAGGTACGTCTCGCGCTCCAACCTTCTCAATTTCGCCACCAGGCAGCGCACCGCGTTCTGCAGCTGCTGTATCGGCCTCTTCTGGTCCTCGACGGAATGCAGCTGCAGCTGGAACCTCATCCTCTGCAGCCTCTCCGAGGCCTCCTTTCGCCTCGGCTCCACGTACAGCAGCAAGTTGTTGACTATGTCCAAGATCATCGCGTATTGCAACGAGTTGGTGCACACGTCCAGATCATGATGCATCAGCGTGAACGCGTCGGCCGCGGACAGGTCCTTCCTCTCCCACAGGCTGACCTCCTCTCTGGGCGGCGGCGGCACTTGGTCCACCGAGCCCACGTCCAAGGTCTGACCGTAGCCGACGTAGAAGAACTCGCACTTGCAGCGGGACACTATGCGCTGCAGTTGGTGCTGGGGGCCTCCCCCGCCTCCTACCGTCTCACTGACCACTCCCCCTACGCTTTGACCGGACCCTACCAGCGCTGGCACGTCCGGCAAGCCGGCGATGACGGTCGAGTCTTTTTCCTGAAATGATACAACGCTCGCTCCGCACAAGATACTCGCCGAGAAGTACTGATAGATAGTGAAGATGCACTCGTAGATAATAATAACTCGTCTCCCCTTGAATTTGGCGAAACGAGTTCGACGGATGCTGTCCTGTCTAAAGGAATCATCACGCTGAGCTCGTATAAAGTTTATATTGGATATTAGGATGGCGAGTTAGAAAGCAGAATTTGATGAAACAAGTAGCCCCGATCTTGTGTGATTGGGTCAAGTGCCGATTTTCAATTCAGAATCTAATTCAGCTCTTTACATGGATATTCTTCCGGTTAAGCTAGAACAGGCGTCTTTAATGTCCGTCATCATGGTTTAGACCTAATCGACGATTGACTCAGGATTAAATATGTCAAATCTTCGATTGAAATCGTGACAGTGAAAGCGGGTATTAGACTTGCTTCGTTGAATCTAGAGAGAGATCACTCAGGGATGTCTACGTACTTGTATGTTATCTAACGTCAACCACATGATGTTATCGTCGATGTTGTCGTCGATGTTCGCGCTCACGGTGGCGTAATACTGCATGCACTCCAGCGAGCCGACCCAGGTGGTCTTCGGGACGAGGGACCGCTCCTTCCAAACCGGATGATGGACTCTCTGCAATATCTCCGCCTTGGCAGCCGAGAGAATCACGTAGCCGCGGGTCTCGATGCCTTTCAACAACACTTGGCTGTTCACCAGAGCGACTGGAAGCAGCTCACGGTTACTAACTTCAATCGGTATTCACAAGCATTCGCGATAACACGTCGCTTACTCAGCCAATTCTTGTGCAGGACGTCGTCCTGATGACAGGCCGCCAGTCCACGCAACTGTTGACCCCTGGTCTGCACGGAGAGATCGTCGCTGAAAGCGACCGGTTTGTTCGTAGCCTCCGCTATCAATCTCTGCAGCATCCCGACCGCCTCGCCTTGCTGCGGCTTCACGGTGGACGAGGGCGTCGCCTGGGTGGGTGCGCTCTGCTGGTCGCCGACGGAGGGCCTGGTGCGGCGGTTCTTGTGCGGCGTGCTGTTGTCCCGGTGAAAGCCCTTGAGCGCCGCGGTCGAGAGGTTCTTCTTGAGCTGCTGGGTCTTGATGAAGGAGTCGAAGAGCGCGAACGCGACGTCGCGGTTGGTCTTGGTCCAGGCGCCTCTCAGATCGTGCACCACCAGCCGGTGGATCGGCGTGTCGCCGCCTACACCGGCGACCATCGCCTCCCTGCCGTAGCTGACCCGGGCGACGCTCAAGCAGTAGCACTTCTCGACCGGCTGACGCAGCGAGGCGCTCTCTTCCTCCTCCTGCAGCGCGCTCTTCAGCCAGATCTCGGCGTCGCTGAGCTCGCAATTCATGTAGACGACGGACCACTCGGCGCGCGGGCGGTGTATCAGCCCGTCGTCGATCGGGTGCAGCGCCAGATTGTGCTCCGAGCTGCAGGCGACTCGGCCGCCGGTCACCTCGAAGCCCCGTTGCATCGCGAAGGACATCCAGTAGTTGACGTGGAATCGGTGGAAGGCCAGGGTCAGCCGGACCTTCCGGTAGTGCCTGCTGAGCTGCTTCTTCCTGGGCCTGATGTTCTTGAAGAGCGGGCCCTTCCTCGTGGGTCGCGTCGCGCCCGACAGGATCAGTTTGAGGTTCTCGAACCATCTCAACGTGCTGCCGTAGAGGAGGGCCGTTGGCGCGCTGGTCAGCGTGGGTGAACCGGTCGGTTTGGTCTCCAGCGAGAGACTGACATTGAGATTCTGCGAGCGGAACGCCCTGAACGAGTCGTGCTCCTGATTGCTGGAGTATTCGGGCAGCCGGTCCGGCGCGCAGGGTACAGCGGCGTGATGGTCTCGCGGGTCGCCCAGACACACCCACGCCAGTTTGATGCTCAGCCTGACGTTGGGCAAGTGCAGCAATCGGCAGTCGTCGTATTTACTAGCCGTACGCACGTACACGTCGAGGTCCCCCTTGATGATGATCTTCCCCTGGGTCCAGTCGAGCTCCAGCCCGGTCCACGTCAGCTCCATCTCCTCCGTGGTATTGTAAGGGTCCAGGGAGCCGTGCAGCAGCACCGTCAGCCGTTTCACGCAGAGCGTCAGCCTACCGTGAAGAGCCAGTCGCATCCGGTCCCAAAACGGTAGCGGCGGGCTCGGGTCGCGCGACGGATGCAGGATCTTCTCGAAGCTGAGGTTGCACTGCGCTACCACCGGCTCCCAGCACGGGCCGAACGCGTACCTGAACTTGTCGATGTCCCAGTTGAGGTCGTGGTAATACTTGAGGGACGTCATGCCCCTCTCCACCACTATGTCCTCCCACGGTGCGCCGATCTCGATCCTGACGGTCCTCTTCGCCCTCAGCGGTGCCAAAGCCTCCGCTCCGGCCAGTCTGCCCCATATGTTCAGGTTCTCCACCACGAGCAGCGGCTGCGGGAAATCGCGAAGCTGGAGCTTCCATTCCGCGCACTTCAGGCTGATCCCCCTGACCCAGAGGGTGCTGAATTCCAGGCCGTCTTCGGGCCATGGCGTCTCCGGGTCCATCTCGCGGAGCGCCCTCATCGCCTTCTCCGTGCCGTTGATGGACGGATCGGCCAAAGCCAGTATCTCCAGGTCCAGCATCGTCCAGGCGAACAGCCGGGTTCTCGCGGGACCAGCCCGTTGCATCTGCTTCCATCTCTGCACGTAGATCTCCGCGTTCTTCTTGTTCAGACTGGCGTACAGTTCCTCGACCTTCCCCTGCGGCAGCAGTAAATGCGCGCGACAGAGCTCGTGCACCTTGGCGTCCAGCATCGCCTGCCGCTTCAGGCTCTCCTTGTACTCGTCCTCCAGCAGCTCGTAATTGTCGCGCAGACGCACCTCGAACGGATCGTCACCGACCTCGAACGTCCATTCCTTGATCTTGATTACCATATCGCACGGCAGGGACTCCCACTTGGACGCGCTCGTAGAGTGGATCTCCTTCAGCCACCTCCTGATGCTGAACAGCTCGTTCTGTATCGCGTTTGTGAACTGATGCTCGTACGGAAAGCAGATTTTAATGGAGTCCACGTTCAACGCCCAGCACTCGTTCCAATCCAGCACGAAGCCCTCGTTGCTCTGCCTCTCCACTCGCACCTCCGCGTTATCGTTCACGCGCACTAATTCGAAACCTTCGATCATTATTATATCGGCCATGTCCAGAGTGACCCGCACGTAATTGAGTCGCCATTCGCCCTGCGACCAACGCAACTGATCGGACGTCAGTATCAGGAAGTGTTTCGTGGAAACGTCGATGGTGACGGTGATCCCACCCGTCGCCAGCAAATCCAGAACGCGTTTCTTCTTTTGCACTTCTACGAAGAAAACTAATTATGGTTTCGATATTTTAGACTTCATGCTTTTGTTTCCGACGTTTCGTGACTTCACTTCTCGAGGAACAATTTGAAAACTCCATCACTTGAAGTTTCAGGCTGTTCCTCACCCTGAACTGAAACGTTCACGGAACGTCGGGAATAAATCCACGAAAGACGCGGCACCAATTCAGAAGCCAATTTGAGCTAACTATAATTAGCGAATTATAATGATGACAAACGAACGAGAATTCGACAAGGGCCAGGATTAAATAAGAAACAGTATTAATGCGTGATGCGCCGGTTTCTTTTCCTCTCATCACCTTCAATACGGGTCGCGCTCATTTCATTCGAGATGATACATCTGAAGTCCTCGGACTCCACCCAGAACTGCATCAAGCGAAGATGCAGATTGGGGCTCCACGCTAGACTAGTGCCGTCGAGGCTGATGTTCACGGCGTCGGAATTAATGGCAGCTTTGCACTTCCGTATCGCCAGAAACGAATGGGTCAAAGCTTGCGCGTGCTGGCACATGACCGGCTCGTTCTTGTTGAGAGTTATCGCGCTCATGCCTTCCGCCACGCCTACGAATCGCTTCGCGCTCTGCTCCACGGTTGCTATGTCCAAACGCATCATTATGGACACTGACACAGACACGAGAAGAACATCAGGGAAACGTTTCTAGACGAAGTCGGGACGAGCCATTGGACATACTCACGCTCGTTCTCGGCGATGAAGAACAGATTGCAATTTGTGATTTTCAGATTCAACTGCATAGGATCGCGCGACGCCGCATCCTTCTTCTTCGCTATCGGCTGTTGATACTTCTTGCAGCACCTGCAATTATTTCCAGGGATTGTTTCGCCGGCGTCGTATTCTCCTTCTCGTTGCCAGGATCAAGTGCTGTGTACAATTCAATGTTATAATCACCTATAAGCTTGCTCGAAAAACTTGGCGAGCTCCAAACTCCATTCGGTCACGAGAGCGTCGACTGCGATTCCTATTGCGTTGCTGCGAGTGGTCGCTAACAGCACCCCGACAGAGAGCGGGCTGCCCCATTGGTGGGATGTCTCGGAGACGTTGCCGTTGACGCCGTTCAAAGCGCAGTACAAAGACTCGACGACCAATTCTGTATTCAGATCCTCGGTTTTGTCTGTTCGAACGCACGGAGTGCGTCGAGATATTATTGTCAGAATCACGGTTTTTGTGTAACTCGAATAAATGAGAGCGCGACGTACCTGTGGATGAATTCAAGGAGAATTTCATGTGCGCCACCCCACAGGACGCTTCCTGCACGTCCGGCAATTTAATGTTCAACGAGGAATCGTACAGCTCCGTATCTAGTCTCATTTCGAAACTCGGCAGTCGATCTCTCAACGATATACCGCTGACAGGCTTCGAAATGTCATTCTCGTTAGTGTACAACGACTCCCAGTCTCGGTGATCGTACATTATCGACAGATTATTCAGCTGCACACTAACGAATAAAACGTTCTCCTCCAACTATGCAAAATTCAACGTGAACACAAGTGATACTCAATTGCATCTGTATTTATTTGTCACTGCATTATGTAATAACCCACCTTTGTATCGATCGACAGTGATTGTAGAGTTAAAATAGGCAGCCTTCCGCGTATGCACAAGCCATCTAAATTTATAGTAAAATTCAACCGCATCATATCAGCTTGGAATTTTGCATTGACCTGTAGACTTCTCAAGGTACCCTCCAAACCTATCATGCTACTGTCCTCCCTGCCAGCTATTATCAACGAATTACCAATTTTCAATGTGAAATCCTGAAAGTATCATCAGTAATTTTGGAACATTATTAAGACGCTTATTGTTACATCGACAATTGTTTGTCTATGGTAAGGAGACTACTTACTTTGGGGAAAATAGGCGCGAATCTAGCTATTATGTTATTGGACGAATTATTATTTACATTGCTGCACGATGCTGCAGGACTCAGTGTTAGTCTGTCTCTCAAAAAATGGACAAGGCCCGCACCACCGGATCCTTCGGTCTGTGTTACTCCGACATATAAGGTCTATAAATCAGATCCCACTTGATTCCTTTTGGAAACGGTTGGTAATCAGATTCAAAGCTATTTATACGCATTTAAATGTGGAGCATGCATAAAAGTAACTGCATAAAATATGCTCTGTTCCATGATAGTTCTTTCAATTATCTAACGTTCCAAGTATCTAACAGAAACATTCGATATATAAAGATATATATCTCGTTTTCTTTTTATAAAAATTGTCGACAAAAAGCTATTTATTTTCCTACAAACTGAAAGGGGATAAATACTTGACGAAGCTCTATACCTCAAATGAAAGTTCTCCCTGAGCTTTAAATGTAGCTTCTACTGTTCCAGCAAATGTTATTTGTGAGAGACACGCATCAGAAGCATGTCGCAGTAATTTCATAGCACCGCCAACGATGGAAGCAGATGCTAAGAGTGTCCGTGCACCGTGTACAATACTACCGTCCAAACTGAGACTTTCTGCACTTCCATTCGCTAACCAGCCATTGCCAAGAGCCAGCAGGCTCAAGTTCTCCACGTGCACAGCCATAAACTAAAATATTCAGATACTTGTAATAATCATATAATTGATACGATGAATACAGCTTCGGGAAATGATAACGACAGGAAACTTCAGCTCTATGTAATTACCTGTACAAATGTTATAATTATAGGAGGTATCTTCTTGTTTCTAAAATCCAGCACTTTGTTAGATTGTTCTATCTTGTATGTCGGACCAACTGGGACATCTTTATTTATTCTGACATCCCTCATAACAACAGCCAATAATTTTGCCACATCGCTGCTAAATAAACTGCTGCGTATACTTATCTCTTCAACTTGCTAGAATTGATTAATTGATCACTGCATTTATCATGTCATACTTCAATATCCGTACGATAAATTACAAGTGACTCACCAATGTGAAACCATTTTTAGTTATATTGACATCACGGAGGATAAAGTAAGGTAGAGAAATGTGGCCTACCCGTAAATGAATTTTGTAACGACGCTTCACTAGCCATGATAACCCTCTTGGTATCACCCTATTGACCAGACATAATTTGCATTACAGATAGATAACAAGCAAGACAATGAAGATGATTCACATTGTTCTTGCGGAGTTTATATTTGTACGCAACATCACACTTACCATGTAAAATTACAATAAAGTATAAAAAAGATGATACAAAACGCAAGTAATCCAGTCATACTCTTGACATTGGATACTAATTGTTTCGTGATCAAAAATATATTCAAATCCCCGAATAATAATGCTGTAGGTACAATGAGATATTTTCCGCACTCAATTCATATCAATTACGCGTTTTATAACCAATAATTTGACAGATTCTTCGATGAATGACTCAAGCACTTTAGCGCTACAAAGTTCAACGATGTATTCCTCAAACTAGTAATTAGACGTCGGTCGATAATGTCGAAACTGAAACAACATCATTTAGAATTTTTACGTTTTACCGAAAATCGTATAACTTGAAAATAAAGATTCTCCTTAGATCTTTCTTCCGTTTAGTTGTACTATTTAGAAATAAAAAGATCGTTTGACACGCCGTTAAAAATTCAAGAAAGTTTTCTTAAAAATATAGTCGGCTATGCCATTAAGTCGTACTGCTTGAGAAATAAATCTCTCCCATTGGGTAATACGTATGCGTTTCGAAATTTATTAGAAAAAGTCGGGTATCTTTCTGTCCGCGATTATACATGTGGCTCCTCTGCACACAAAACGTAGAAACGTTTGCCGCAAGAAGAGACGAAGCGCCAGCCAATCAACGTGCCGCTGGCTTAAGAGTTTATTGGCTATTGCTCCGCTTCTTGCCGCATGGCGAAAGAAAGGATAGAGTTGTACGTCTACCACTCATCAGTGGAATATCGCTATCCGCGATCGGAACGTGTGGAGGCCATTGCGTGTGTTTACGAGATATTGCCGTAGAATTCTTGATGCGTACTTAGTATCGAATGATTAGTCAATTATGTAGCAATCGTTACGCAGAAACTGATAATCAAACATCGTAAAAAAGTGTACGTACGATCTTTTTATTCTCTAATCACACCGGTAAGCACTGCTCATATACTGCGTGTATCGTTTCCGTTGCGTGTATCCAGGCTATAGGTCTGTTCGTTTTCGCTGCACCGCTGAACTATTGCAATAAGTTGAAGCGAGACAAGTATATGTTTTCTCACTTCAACTTATTGCATTAGTTCAGCGGTGCAGCGAAAACGAACATACCTCATATTTCAGAATCCCATGTTACATTTTATGTTGAGAATACCTGGCACGTTACGTATTTAATTCTTTGAGTGCTGTGAGCGCATTAATACGTTCAACAAAAACATTTGCTTTAACCTGCGGATGCATATATGCACTCGGTGTAAAACATTTGTAACTGCGCATATATATGTTATATATTGCTGGCATTTCCAAGGGCTCTCATTTGCACACTCGCTTCTTCAACTTGTCAGCTACAGTTTCAGTTGTAGGGTTTATTGCTTCAAGTTGGAAATACCAATTTATTTTTTATTCTACTTGATATCAGCAGTCAAAAAAAAAAACGTTTGATCTAGCAGAGTTTCAGCTGTGCAGTGCTTTCTTGTGTTGCTTTGTCCTCAGAGTCAAGGACTAAGGTTTCGAGAGATATTTCATCGAGTTACACAGATTATACACAGAAAAAATACTAATATCTACATTAGGAAGAATTAATTAGAAATTTTGTTTTTTAGTTGACAAACATTTGTAAAGATGTCCATTCCACCGTATTTACTGGGTCCAAACCCATGGGCCACAATGATGGCCCAGCAGCAGGCCCATGCCCAACTAGCTGCTGCCCAAGCACATGCGCAGGCTGCTGCGCAAGCTGCTCATCATGCTCATATGCAGGCTATAGCAGGACCACCGTTGCCTCAGATGCCTAAACAACCGGAGGTCTTGTCAGAAGACAAACTTCAGGAGAAAGGTAAATTTTGTAAAGAATAATTATAATGTATTATAATATAGTTATAGAATATAATATACAGTTACAGAATATACATATGTATAGAATACATAGTTTCTTACAATGGTGATTTTCTTTGTTTCAGCACAAAAGTGGCAGCAGCTACAGTCAAAGCGATTTGCAGAGAAGAGAAAGTTTGGCTTTGTGGATGCCCAAAAAGAAGACATGCCAGCCGAGCATATAAGAAAGATCATCCGAGATCACGGTGATATGAGCAGTAGAAAATATCGACACGACAAACGGGTTTACCTGGGGTAAGTTATCGCGTTATTAAGTTAATGTGTGATTAAGTTTTTTAAATTCTAAATGTATATTCGTTGCACACAGAGCATTGAAGTATATGCCACACGCTGTTATGAAACTGTTGGAGAACATGCCTATGCCGTGGGAACAAATAAGAGACGTAAAGGTTCTGTATCACATCACGGGAGCCATTACATTTGTCAATGAGATTCCTTGGGTTATAGAGCCTGTATACATAGCTCAGTGGGGGTAAAATTGTTTATCCATTACGAGGATTATTTCTTGTAATTCACCGTTACAAAATTGCTCATTAAAGACTTATATCTCTTCAGCACCATGTGGATCATGATGAGACGAGAGAAGAGGGATCGTCGACACTTCAAGAGAATGAGATTTCCACCCTTTGACGACGAAGAACCTCCCTTGGATTATGCGGACAACGTTCTGGATGTTGAACCTTTGGAAGCTATACAGATTGAACTTGACTCGGAGGAAGACGAATCCGTGGCGTCATGGTTTTACGAACATAAGCCGTTAGTTGGGACAAAGTAAGTTGCAATATGTATTATCTCGAAGTAATATTCATATCAATTACCAAAAATAATCACGAGAAGAAAGTGAAGAGATGCTTCATAATGATGAGTAGCGTAGGGGTCCTGAAATCAACTGCGCATGTGGGTTGACAGCTTGGTTAACTGCGTATTGTTGTCTGAGACTGACGATACGAGTTATCCACAGTTGGACAATATGCTATACTGAATGAACATTCTTAGGAATACCATTTAAAGCTGCTCCCCCCCCCCTCCCTCCCTGTTATGATACGTAAATCCGAGCGATAAAAATGCATTACAGACACGTGAACGGATCGACATACCGGAGATGGAACTTGACACTACCGCAAATGGCAACGTTATACCGTTTGGCCAATCAGTTGCTGACCGATCTGGTGGATCAGAATTTCTTTTATCTCTTTGATCCCAAGTCGTTCTTCACCGCGAAAGCCTTAAATATGGCAATTCCCGGAGGACCGAAGTTCGAACCATTGGTGAAGGATTCCAACGCAGCTGATGAGGACTGGAACGAGTTCAACGACATAAACAAGATTATCATCAGACAGCCCATCAGAACAGAATATAGGATCGCGTTTCCTTATTTGTACAACAATATGCCTCACTTTGTGCATCTCTCGTGGTAAATTGCGTTGCTTTTATCGATTACATTTTTTTATTAATTTTCTTCGTTTATATTCCACACTAGTTTTAAGATCTGCTTGCTAATACGACATGATCTTTCTAGCAGTGTGGTAGAGAAAATGTAGTGACAGTTATTCGTATCTTTCGTAGAGATTAAGGAAGAAACTGCTGATATCACTCACAAGCTTTCTCTCTCACGACAATTTCTCAAACTTAACACGCCCGTTTGTCTTTTCTTCTTGCGATATTCCCGATATCGTTAATACGTGCATCACGCTTGGCAGGTATCACGCGCCGAATGTCGTGTACATAAAAACCGAAGACCCCGACTTGCCCGCGTTCTACTTTGATCCGTTGATCAATCCGATCTCTCACAGAAATTCGCTGAAGGTAAGTGTCCTCGCAATTCAGACGAGTCCATCGATCACATCGTCGAATCGTAATCGTCGCAGATGATGGAGCCGCAGATCGAGGACGACGAGGACTTCGTTCTACCGGGCGAGGTGCAGCCGTTCCTCCAGGAGATACCGCTTTACACGGACAACACGGCGAACGGCATAGCTCTGTTGTGGGCACCGAGGCCGTTTAACACGCGCTCCGGAAGAACCAGGAGGGCGATCGACATTCCGTTAGTCAAGTCTTGGTACCGAGAACACTGTCCGCCCGGCCAGCCTGTGAAGGTACGGGTCAGCTATCAGAAGCTGCTCAAGTACTTCGTGCTGAACGCCCTGAAGCACAGGCCGCCGAAGCCGCAGAAGAAGCGCTACCTGTTCCGTTCGTTCAAGTCCACCAAGTTCTTCCAGACGACCACGATAGACTGGGTCGAGGCTGGTCTGCAGGTGTGTCGCCAGGGATACAACATGTTGAATTTGCTGATACACAGGAAGAACCTTAATTACCTCCATTTGGATTATAATTTCAACCTGAAGCCCGTGAAAACGCTGACGACGAAAGAGAGAAAGAAGTCGCGCTTCGGCAACGCGTTTCATCTGTGCCGGGAGATCCTCCGTTTGACCAAACTCATCATTGACTCCCACGTGCAGTATCGTCTGAACAACGTGGACGCCTTCCAACTTGCCGACGGTCTCCAGTACATCTTCGCGCACGTTGGCCAGTTAACCGGCATGTATCGTTACAAGTACAAGCTAATGCGGCAGATCCGAATGTGCAAGGACTTGAAGCACCTGATATACTACCGCTTCAACACCGGACCGGTCGGTAAAGGGCCGGGATGCGGCTTTTGGGCGCCAGGCTGGCGCGTCTGGTTGTTCTTCATGAGAGGCATCACGCCGCTCTTAGAGAGATGGCTCGGCAACTTGCTGTCCAGGCAGTTCGAAGGACGGCACTCGAAGGGCGTGGCGAAGACCGTGACGAAGCAGCGGGTGGAGTCGCACTTCGATCTCGAGCTGAGGGCATCGGTCATGCACGACATAGTCGACATGATGCCGGAGGGGATCAAGCAGAACAAGGCGCGAACCATCCTGCAACATCTGAGCGAGGCGTGGCGATGTTGGAAAGCGAACATACCGTGGAAAGTGCCGGGCTTGCCGATCCCGATCGAGAACATGATACTGCGCTACGTTAAGATGAAGGCCGACTGGTGGACGAACACCGCTCACTACAATCGCGAGAGAATCCGACGCGGCGCCACGGTGGACAAGACCGTGTGCAAGAAGAACCTGGGTCGGTTGACGCGACTCTACCTGAAGGCCGAGCAAGAACGACAGCACAACTACCTGAAGGACGGCCCGTACATATCCCCGGAGGAGGCCGTTGCCATTTTCACCACCTCGGTGCATTGGCTGGAGTCCCGAAGGTTCGCCCCGATACCTTTCCCGCCGCTGTCCTACAAACACGACACGAAACTGCTGATATTGGCGTTGGAACGCTTGAAGGAAGCCTACAGCGTCAAGTCCAGGCTGAATCAGAGCCAGCGGGAGGAGCTGGGCCTGATAGAGCAGGCGTACGACAACCCGCACGAGGCGCTGTCCAGAATCAAGCGACACCTGCTGACCCAGAGATCCTTTAAGGAGATCGGCATCGAATTCATGGACCTTTACAGTCACCTGATCCCCGTCTACGATGTCGAGCCGCTTGAAAAAATCACGGACGCCTACCTGGATCAGTATCTGTGGTACGAGGCGGACAAAAGGCGGCTGTTTCCGCCGTGGGTAAAGCCGGCCGACACGGAGCCGCCGCCGCTCCTCGTCTACAAGTGGTGTCAGGGCATCAACAATCTGCAGGACGTGTGGGACGTCAGCGAGGGCGAGTGCAACGTGCTGCTGGAGTCGAAGTTCGAGAAGCTGTACGAGAAGATCGATCTCACGTTGCTCAACAGATTGCTACGGCTGATAGTCGACCACAACATCGCCGATTACATGACGGCGAAGAACAACGTCGTGATCAACTACAAGGACATGAATCACACCAACAGCTACGGGATCATCCGAGGCCTGCAATTCGCGTCCTTCATCGCCCAATACTACGGCCTCGTGCTGGATCTGCTGGTACTGGGTCTCCAGAGGGCCAGCGAGATGGCCGGTCCGCCGCAGATGCCGAACGACTTTCTGACCTTCCAAGACGTCGCCTCGGAAACGGCGCATCCCATCCGGCTGTACTGCCGTTACGTCGACCGCATACACCTGTTCCTGCGCTTTTCCGCGGACGACGCGAGGGATCTGATCCAACGTTACCTCACGGAGCACCCGGACCCGAACAACGAGAACATCGTCGGCTACAACAACAAGAAGTGCTGGCCGCGGGACGCTCGCATGCGGCTGATGAAGCACGACGTCAACCTGGGCCGCGCTGTTTTCTGGGACATCAAGAACCGGCTGCCGCGCTCCACCACCACTATCCAGTGGGAGAACAGCTTCGTCAGCGTCTACAGCAAGGACAATCCTAATTTACTGTTCAACATGAGCGGCTTCGAGTGCAGGATCCTGCCCAAGTGTAGAACTACCCACGAGGAGTTCACTCATCGCGATGGTGTCTGGAACCTTCAGAACGAGATCACCAAGGAGAGGACCGCGCAGTGCTTCCTGCGCGTCGACGACGAGAGCCTGCAGCGATTCCACAATCGAGTCCGGCAGATCCTCATGGCCTCCGGCTCGACCACGTTCACGAAGATCGTCAACAAGTGGAACACCGCGCTGATCGGCCTCATGACCTACTTCAGGGAGGCCGTGGTGAACACGCAGGAGTTGCTGGACCTGCTGGTCAAGTGCGAGAACAAGATCCAGACTCGTATCAAGATCGGGCTCAACTCCAAAATGCCGTCTCGTTTCCCACCCGTGGTCTTCTACACGCCCAAGGAGCTGGGCGGCCTCGGAATGCTGTCGATGGGCCACGTGTTGATACCGCAGTCGGATCTAAGGTGGTCGAAGCAAACCGACGTGGGCATCACCCACTTCCGTTCGGGCATGAGTCACGACGAGGATCAACTGATACCCAACTTGTACCGCTACATACAACCGTGGGAGTCCGAGTTCATCGACTCCCAGCGCGTCTGGGCTGAGTACGCGTTGAAGCGGCAAGAGGCGAATGCGCAAAATCGCAGGCTCACTCTGGAGGACCTGGAAGACAGCTGGGATCGCGGTATCCCCCGAATAAACACGCTGTTCCAGAAGGACCGGCACACCCTGGCTTACGACAAGGGCTGGCGTATTCGCACGGAATTCAAGCAATATCAGGTGTTGAAGCAGAACCCCTTCTGGTGGACCCACCAGCGGCACGACGGCAAACTGTGGAACCTGAACAACTACCGGACCGATATGATCCAGGCGCTCGGCGGTGTCGAGGGCATCCTCGAGCACACGCTCTTCAAGGGTACCTACTTCCCCACTTGGGAGGGTCTCTTCTGGGAGAAGGCGTCCGGCTTCGAAGAGTCGATGAAATACAAGAAGCTGACGAACGCGCAGCGTTCCGGTCTTAATCAGATCCCGAATCGGCGATTCACGCTCTGGTGGTCGCCCACCATCAATCGAGCGAACGTCTACGTCGGTTTCCAGGTGCAGCTCGATCTGACGGGCATATTCATGCACGGCAAGATACCGACCCTGAAGATCTCGCTGATCCAGATATTCCGCGCTCACTTGTGGCAGAAGGTGCACGAATCGATCGTGATGGACCTCTGTCAGGTGTTTGACCAGGAATTGGACGCGCTGGAGATCGAGACGGTGCAGAAAGAGACGATTCATCCGAGGAAGTCCTACAAGATGAACTCCTCGTGCGCCGACATACTCCTGTTCTCCGCTTACAAGTGGAACGTGTCCCGGCCGTCGCTTCTCGCCGACTCGAAGGATGTGATGGACAGCACGACCACTCAGAAGTACTGGATCGACGTGCAGCTCAGATGGGGCGACTACGACTCGCACGATATCGAGCGTTACGCACGCGCCAAGTTCCTGGACTACACCACGGACAACATGTCGATTTATCCTTCCCCCACCGGTCTTCTGATAGCCATAGATCTGGCGTACAACTTGCACAGCGCCTACGGGCACTGGTTCCCCGGCTGCAAGCCGCTCATACAGCAGGCCATGGCGAAGATTATGAAGGCGAATCCGGCTCTGTACGTGTTGCGCGAGCGCATTCGCAAGGCTCTGCAGCTTTACTCGTCCGAGCCCACCGAGCCGTATCTCTCCTCGCAGAATTACGGCGAGCTCTTCTCCAACCAGATCATATGGTTCGTCGACGACACGAACGTGTACCGTGTGACGATCCACAAGACCTTCGAGGGCAACCTGACCACGAAGCCGATCAACGGCGCGATCTTTATCTTCAACCCGCGCACCGGCCAGCTCTTCCTCAAGATTATTCACACCTCTGTCTGGGCGGGTCAAAAGCGTTTGGGTCAATTGGCCAAGTGGAAGACCGCCGAGGAAGTCGCCGCTCTGATTCGCTCCTTGCCCGTGGAGGAGCAGCCGAAGCAGATTATCGTCACCAGGAAAGGAATGTTGGATCCTCTGGAGGTGCACTTGTTGGACTTTCCCAACATAGTCATCAAGGGATCCGAACTGCAACTGCCGTTCCAGGCGTGTCTCAAGGTGGAGAAGTTCGGCGACCTGATTTTGAAGGCGACCGAGCCGCAAATGGTGCTGTTCAATCTGTACGACGACTGGCTGAAGACTATATCGTCGTACACCGCGTTCTCGCGGCTGATTTTAATCCTGCGCGCGCTACACGTCAACACCGAGAGAACGAAGGTCGTGCTGAAGCCCGACAAGACCACCATCACCGAGCCGCATCACATATGGCCATCCTTGACGGACGATGAGTGGATCAAGGTGGAGGTGCAGCTGAAAGATCTCATTCTAGCCGACTACGGCAAGAAGAACAACGTCAACGTCGCGTCGCTCACTCAGTCGGAGATTCGCGATATTATCCTGGGCATGGAGATCAGCGCACCGTCCGCCCAGCGTCAACAGATCGCCGAAATCGAGAAGCAGACGAAAGAACAGAGCCAGCTCACCGCCACCACCACGAGAACTGTGAACAAGCATGGCGACGAGATCATCACCGCGACCACGTCCAACTATGAGACGCAGACGTTCAGCTCGAAGACCGAATGGCGAGTGCGCGCTATATCCGCGACCAATCTCCACCTTAGAACGAATCACATCTATGTGTCGTCCGACGACATCAAGGAGACCGGCTACACTTACATTCTGCCTAAGAACGTGCTGAAGAAGTTCGTCACCATCTCCGATCTGCGAGCGCAGATTGCTGGTTACCTCTACGGCATCAGTCCACCCGACAATCCTCAGGTAACAAGTTCGTTCACTTTATTCATCGTTTCAGCACACACAGCGGACTGTACGATACACGGAGTCTTCGCTGAGTTCAGTTTGTTGCAACAAGCGTTTTACCGTTCATATGTATATATCTTTATATATCCTTCTATATCTTCATAGATTCTCTTATTTAACGTCAATTGATTTAATATTTGTTGGGACGATGAGATCATTTGGATATGTTTCAAACCTATTTCTGCCGTGAATTAACCACCAGCTCTGTTTTAAATATGAAAGGTGAAGGAAATCAGGTGCATCGTGATGGCGCCGCAATGGGGAACACATCAGACTGTCCATCTGCCGAACACATTACCTAATCATCAATATTTGAAGGAAATGGAACCCTTGGGATGGATACACACGCAACCTAACGAGTTGCCTCAACTTTCGCCGCAGGATATATCCACTCACGCCAGAATTATGGCGGAGAATTCGATCTGGGACGGCGAAAAGACTATCGTGATCACTTGCAGCTTCACCCCTGGTTCCTGTTCACTCACGGCATACAAGCTGACACCAAGTGGCTTCGAGTGGGGCAAGCAGAATACGGACAAAGGCAATAACCCGAAAGGCTATCTGCCCAGCCACTACGAGAAGGTGCAGATGTTGCTGTCGGACCGCTTCCTCGGCTTCTTTATGGTGCCCAGTCAAGGTTCGTGGAACTACAATTTCATGGGAGTGAGGCACGATCCAAATATGAAGTACGAGCTGCAGCTGGCGAACCCGAAAGAATTTTACCACGAGGTGCACAGGCCGGCTCATTTCCTCAACTTCTCCAGCTTGGAAGACGGCGAAGGCGTCGGTGCTGATCGGGAAGATATGTTCGCGTAAATTTGCTAATAAACATGTGTTTGGTTCATCCGAAGCCTTCGGCGAGATTGTCCGGTGGAAAACTGCTGCGACTTTTACCGCGGAACGTTCCATTCGCACGACGATCATGAGAGCTCAGACGATCAGAGAGAGGATACCGTCACTTTATGAATACATGTTCTCATGTGTCTCCTTACATAAGAAAACTCTGATATCGAGTATTGTAAGTTGTAATTGTATTGTAAGTTATATTAAAATAAAATTTGTACAAAATTATTGCATACATTTAATGCATGTGTAAGCTATACATACTTTTATCACTTTACAGAAGATAATAAATCCATGGTATTTAGTAATAGTTTAGTGTCAATAGTGAAATAGTGTCAATTTTGAATATTTTCGATTAAGAGAGTTCTTTTTGTATATCATGACTGTTGACAATTTGATGAATCGGCAATGGTTCTCCAAAGCAGCAGTCATGATACATAAATATTCAAAAATAACGGACCTAATTGAAAATTTTTAAAAAACTGAAATAATAGGAAATGGATGCCTATGGGGGGAATGGAGTCTGCTATACATTCACTGATCGGTAATGAATTGTTTTACGAAAGGGGAAAATTCTAAACTTCTAAAAGACTGGTGAGTCTATCGCCAGTGCTCGGACGTTTTTCCCTTTGGGCCAAATCTCGCAATTTTTGGAGATTTTAAGTCAGGAAGTGGAGCGTGTAAATTCCTATTCGACGCTGAACACCATTCGTAGCGCTAATTTCGCTTATTACACATAACGAAATTGGCAATCACGCGCTTGTCAAACGTTTTTGTAAAGTGGTAGAAGTCCTTAAACTTCCTCGCCCTCGTTATAACTGTGTCTGAGACCTGGTCCCGGTTACTTGCGAAACTGGCGGCTCTATGACTTACTTCCTCTCGATACCATTACAAAGAAATTAGTCCTACTCCTCGCTCTCGGCACAGGCCAATGCGTTCAGACGCCTGTATTTTTTAGGATATTTCAAATTTCTTTCGGTGACAAGCTTATTATCAAAGTTCTAGATCATATTAAGACTTCGGCTTTTGGACATGCACAACCATTTTTTTCTTTCTCTCCATTTAATAATAACGAAAGTCTATGTATCTATAAATGAACAAAGCACTATTTAAGCGCAACCCAAAATTTACGGGTTTTCTCAGGCGATTTTTTTTTATTTCCTTTACTCGGCCTCATAAAGCGGTAGGTCAACAAACAATCAGCCATTGGTTGCGTTTAGCCCTGGAAGACTGTGGAGTTAGGACTGATATCTTTTCAGCGCAAAGTACGCGCCATACATCAACCTCGTCAGCTGCCCGAAAAGGCCTTAGATTTAATTAAACACGCTGCGGTTTGGTCGAGGTCATCACAAGTCTTCGCACGTTTTTATAACCATCCGATTATAAATCCGGAGGAGATTAGTAACTCAGTTCCTTTCTTGAATAACTTTCTTCTGTTTTTTTATCTGAAACTACTGTGATTATAAGTTTAAGTTTAAGTTGTTTATTTCTTCACACGATATTATAAGTTTATAAGTTATAAGTACATATTATAAGTTTAAGTTGTTTATTTCTTCACACGATGAAGTACTTATTTTGTTATTCAGAATTGTCTTTAATTTAGTTAAATTCACACGATGAAGTACTTATTTTGTTATTCAGAATTGTCTTTATTTTAGTTAAATCCGATATTACAAGCCCCTCTCGTATTATGTTATAGATACAATATTTTTCTGTTAAACTTATATTTTTTCAGATTTTCAGGGTTTCTATATTTCCCTCACCCTTTATAAAAAAAGTGTTAAGGTGATATTATCGAAATGTGAATATTTTAGAAGATATTTCATATCTTATATTGAAAAATGTCAGAATGAGAAATAAAATATCTCGAACAGTATTCACTTCTCGACGATTTCACCTTAGTATTTTATATACAGAATAAACAGAGAAATCGATTTGTACTAAAAAACTATATAATTCCATTAAAAAAAATTGAAATTGACTTTGAAATAACCTTGAAAAGAGGTTGTTAAATATATAATTATATATCGTTAATATTAATATGAAATATATAACTTGGAACAACCAGGATCGAATGTATAATTTAGGATATAAAGATGAGAAAATATATACATATAATAAAGCAATATTTTTATTTACTGTGTATAATAATTATGAAATTATATTACCATATTCCCAAATTACAGGTTTTTTAAAGAATATATAATATAAATTAATTTATCTTGTGTTTATGCAGGACATCCCAGAATATCCACATGAGGAGTGCACCGGGAGATTTAATAAATAAATTAACTTTTTGTTTATTAAAATTCCGTTTGAACCATATCTTTATATTGAAAGCTACTTGAGATTGTCAAATTAGAACATTACATTATGCATGAGTTAGGAGCCAAATCACGAAATGTCATATGAATTATGTAGATAGTTTTTCTACCATTTTTCTAAACCTTTTATTATACAACTATGCATGATATCTGAATTATTATTATTTGAAATACAACTTATTTGATACAAAAGAATTCTTTCCGACGCTACTGAAGAAATAAATAAATAAATAAATAAATATATATATATATATATA